TCTTCTCCTCTCGTCCCTCCTCAATCTCTATTCCCAACTCGCCTGAGTGGTGTCTGCAGTCTCTCAGTCGCTGACACTGTCTGGGATTCAGATTTGTCAAGAGTCAGCAAATAAAGGCTGCAGAAACAACACTTCAGCACACACTGGAAGACACAAATAAACAGACGGGGAACAGAAATGCACGTGATCTCATGCATGGGGACATTCTCAAATCCAAATGAACAAATGATTTGTCACAGACACATTTCAAACACACACTTTAATAAGGGACTGTACAAAGCTTATTGTGGTGGTGAAGGAGGGCTGAATGTTCCACTTTGTGATAAAGTGGGTTATTGTTATTTTCTTTGAAATGCAGCATCTCCCCACAGTAAGTCACAATAATATAACTGTGTTTAATCTTATACACCAGTTCAAACCTTAAGGGAAACTCTGCTGTGAGCCACCAATGTAGGCCACACATTAATAAAACCCTGATACAGCGACAGAAGTGTTGTCCTCTGCACATGGTATGAATTGCATCTTTGGACTATGACGCAGGTCAAAGTTTGATGGAACATTTTATGTAAGAACCCAGGCTGCATCACGTTAGTGTGCAGTGCACAATGTTGGTCTGAAAGGTGGGAAAAACCCAATAATGGAAGACTTGAAATACTCTATATATTTAGAGGTCTCCTGCATCCTGGCAACAGCCCAAACTCCACTAATGAACACATTACACAGAGATATCAAAATGGCAATTGATATCTCAAATTGTAGTTTTAGGTGGAGTTATGGAGTACAACTATTTTGTCACAAATACTTTATCCTCCTGTTCAACATTTAAGCAGTTTCTCTGCTGCTTGCCTGGTTACATCACAGCAACAACAACAACAACTGTTGTTCAGGTTTTACAGCATGTAACCCCCCAGAAAAACACTCACATTTCTGCTTACATATAGATTAAACAAATGGGAAACAAGTGCAGTTACAGGCCTAAAACTGAAGGGAGCTAAAACTGAAAAACAAATTGTGGATTTTCACCATTGACCAATAGCAGACCATTTTGGCATTTTAAAGGGACGTTGAGCCAGAGTCCAATGAAGAGGAAGCCATTGTAGCTTAGATGAATCCTCCACAACCTCCTTGACCTCTTCAATAACTTTTTATTGAGAAAGAAATGGTGTTCAGTGGTGAACAAAATGCCGGGGAAGCAAAAGAAGTAAAGAGAAAAAAGAGAGTAAAGCTTTGGATTGGTCAGTGGTAACATTCACTGGGGTGAAATATGACATCACGATATAGCCTACACTATGACATACTGTATATAACATATCATTTCTATATAAGCGCTCCTGTTTGCATCTGAATCCAGGATGTAATGTTATACCTTTGTCACAGTGAAATGCACAACAGGCCCATGAAAGTGTGAGATCTAACAAAGAGCATCATGGGCCAGAAAATATTGAGAAACCGCAGAGCAGCTCTGCCACACTGGTTTAGCTGCAGCTACATGAGCCAAATTCACTCCATGTTAAATCAATATGATCGACAATTCTCAAGAAACTAATTATGTTAATTAGAATGATGAGATAAGGTGTCCTGTTTAACCTCTCCACAGTAAGGCACTTTAAAAACATGCGTATGGCACAATTAGGGGTTGCCTGCTGCACGGTTTTGTACAACTCATGCAAGTAATTCAAAGAGTTTTTTGTTTTGTTGAGCATGCACAGAAAAAGTAAATAGAGCCTTTACATAACAGATCTTTATCTGCTGAGTGGGTCAGTTTATTCTAATTAGCGAGAGAGTCATTTGTAACCACATTACGTTGTTATTATGAGTAGTTGTTAAATAAAAGGCTGTGTGTAAATGTAGACAGTGGGATCATGGACCTTCTCATTGCATTAAAGCTCTTTAAATGTGTATTTGACTCAACACCCCCCTGGAGTGACGGAGGAAAAGAGTCCAGACAGAGACAAAGGGAGACAAAGAACAAAGCAGAAACACAATGAAAGATTCAGAGAGAAACAGACAGTTTCTGTATGAACGAGAGTCAGAGCGGCGCATCCTGCTACACCGCAGTCTGAATAAAGACAGAGGAGCCTTATACCTACAAGAAAAAATAAACATACACGATGAGTGTGACACACTCTCAGACTCTCAGACCAAAACAAAATTCAATATTTACTGACATTGTCGCAAAAGCAGAAAAACATGTCAGAGCGTGTAAGAGCCGGAGGGGAAACAGCAGAGCAACACAGGACTGTGACTGAGCTTTAAAGTCTGACAAACATTACATTTCTATTTGATGTCTCTTCTTCTATAGTTTACTCCATCTATAATACAATCGTTTAACTATATTTACTGTATTTTTTCATTCAAAAAAAACAATTTATTTTTCTTTTGTGATAGTGAGCTACAAATGTTGTGTAGTCATGTAGCTAGATACTGTAGTACAGTGTATATTGTGCTTTTTTTTCTGATGTGATTTGGTGTGTAGTGAATTTTTCTTACATTCTGAATTATTCGTCTTACATTGTAAACGGCTGTAGTTACAGCTTCTGTGCTTACTTCAAATTAGCTCCACTCTCACCAATCACAACAGCAGCAACATGAACTTTAAGTAAAAAATGGCTGCCATGTGTATATACAGTAGGGGCAGTATCATTCTTATACATCAGGCATTTAAGTGCTGGGGAATTTAACAGTAAACGCTTATATAAAACACAAATAACTGAGGGAAACATTTGATTGGGACTTTTAAACTTTGGAACTTTTAAGCACAGTCATGTTGGCTTTTTCTCTGTCCTCATCTCAGTGTGTTACTCTTATGTTTTGTTTATTTTCTCTGTGGTCATTGTGGTCTCTGCGGTTTTCTTCTCTAATGTTTCATGTCACTTGTGGTTGAAATATTTGAATATGTTTTGTTTTTTGTGAAACCCTATTAATCATAAAACAATGTCATACACTTCCCTCTTTACCATTTGAAACCATTTTAGGATCAGGCAGATCAAGTCCAAATCTTTTCTGAAATCAAAACAGCAAGAGGTTTTTAATCACATCATTATTTTGATGGACAAGTCTATGGTCTTTCTTTACATCTACACAGGTGTGAAGGGTTATGACACAGTCTGTTGTCTGATAGTCTGTCTTAATTATACTTTTATTGTAAACCTGGTACAACATGCTTTAGTAAGGCTGTTCTCAATTAAGGTCTTGCCATTAAAACTAATGAGAGTTTGAGAGTAGAGGCAGATGATTGGTCAGACAGACAGATCCAAAGGGGGAGAGGAGGAGGAGGAGGAGGAGGAGGAGGAGGAGGAGGAGGGAGGAGCTGTCTGAGGTGAGGGACATGACATGAATATCTGCACAGCCACAATGGCGGCCTGGAGATGTGCATGGGCAAGCGAGAGGGGTGGGGCTGCTCTCTGTTACGCAATGGGAAACCACTGCAATCCCCCCTCTCATTCTTGTACATTCACACAGGGCAAAAAAAATGCCACCCCACCCGTCCCTCCAACTGCTTCTCATCACACTGTACTTAGGAGCTATTTAACATACAAACTACCCCACTGACATTTTGTGTCAGCAGACAGTGTTTTCAGTGCACACACAGAGATACAACCAGCTTTGTGTGTGTGTGTGTGTGCTTATGTTTTGTGAAAGAGCAGTGGTGACAGCTGGGGGAAGGGAGGCACAGACAGAGAGGAGGACTCACAATGACTCACAACGAGGAGGAAGAGTAAAGGAGAACGAAAAGCTGCCGGCTCTCATTCACCTTGACATCCTCCTCTCAGATGTGAGGCGTCTGCCACCTCACAGTCACCTTCCTGCGATCGTGACCCCGTTTCTCCTGGTCTTAATGGTGCACCCACAGTCTTTTAATTAAGGCCACGCACTGTCTCTGTATCCTCAAAGGCACCAAATGACCTCTACTGTCATGTGGGGCTGTGTGTCTGTAAATATTTGTCAGGAATGAAGAGCAGGGCAAACACTGGCACCTGGTGGTGGAAGAGGGAGGACCGCAGCCTCACTGGCTTAAGTTTGAAGCCACTGGATATTTATTGTGTTGTTTATCATTTGTGACAAAACAACAACAATAGAAAATCAGAAAAAGCACATGTATGATGAAACTGAAAAGTGGGTCAACTGTTTTGTCCAATGTCTTTTAAAATGATCAAATTCCTGCACATCACATAAGAAATCAATCACTACTTGTTAATATTCATTTACTAAATCTGCTCTCAGGGCAGCTTAAACACACTGGACTCTTGTAAATAGGTTACTGAAGTGATTTATTTATACACTTCTATAGGGTTCAAACTTAAGAAAGTGCCCTCCAGAGCCACTATAACTGTTTTCACAGGCTGAGTGCTGCTGGTGCTCAAAGGTTGTTTTTAGAAATAAAACATAATTCAGGGAATGTATTAAGAATTTATGCAAGTGTGAGTTATATTGCATTAACTGTCTATTAGGAAACAGACAGAGCAGTCAGAGGGAATTCATCAAAGTGAGTTTTAAATCTTCCCAACTACATGGCCTGCAGACCAGAGGTCACAGAACATTTGCTCCCAGATCAGGAGCTAAATAATAATTATATAACTTTATAGCATTTGCATTAATCTGGAGAGGGTCTATAAATGGAGATGATTTAATTCTGTGGTTTAGGGGTGGGCGTCCAGCAAAGACAACAACGCAGAATGACCAAAACCTCAGAGTAACAGCTACAGGCAGGACATCATGCTCTAAACACCTGAAAGATTATTAATATTCATGTGCCATTAGCCAAAGCACATTGTGTTTGTCTGTGCTTGTGATTTAGATGAAAGTTTAAACCACAAATTTAACCAAAGCTAAATGTAACCACCACAGGAGGAAACATGTAAAAGCCCAGTCTCTGCTGTCAGAGTCTGTGCTCTGTACAAACGAGTAATATAAAAACACAATTTAAAGGGGAGAGAGTTGTCAAGTAGTGGTGCTGTGCACCAATTCAGATTAGAGCTTTAATCTGAAATAAAGCATGGGTCACAAAACAGACATTGCATACAGACATTAAATGTATTTCACTCTCTTTTCACATACATAACAAAAATGACGATTGTTGAAAGGGATCAAACAACAATCACATATGTTAACACAAAATAAAATAAGTACATTACTCCACCAAAGTATAACATTTTTGATTGAAGACTACATTAAAAATATATCATTGCACAAACATTTGGTAAAATATTTACTGTAAACAATCTTTTCTAGTTTTTGCTCAAGATTGTGTTCAATCTCAAATTTAGTGTTTTTCATTTTCTTTAGCAAGTACAAATCTGCATGTAGTCTCTAATAATCATAGACATGTTTTCCATGATTATTAATTATCTTCATAAAGTTTGATTAAACCAGGTTTGCTTATTTTCACAAGTGCAGTTAACATTTGTATCAGTAAACGACATCAGTGTTTACATAAACGTAGAGATAACAATGTGTAACCAGCAGCAGAGTGTTATCCGTCCTCAGGGTGCTGAGAGGAAACTTTCTCAAGTTGAAACTGAAAACAACAGGTCCTTCTTTGCGGGGGAAAACAAAGAGGAGAAGGAGTTTAGCGAAGGCACAGCTGGCCTCAGTGGGTGGCAGTCGGTTTGTACACGGTTTCTCAAGTGTCCTTGAGAAACACAACGCAACTCTCTCTGCACCAGTGGCTCTGTTAACTACAGCCGCAACACTCTGCACCATCTGATGAATCACAGCTCTCAGAGTGAAGTTACTAAACCGACAATGACAATCAGTAAAAAGTCGTCATGTTGACTGGATGAAAGGTCGGTATCAGTATAAATACAATATACTTTAACTGGAAAGTGGTTTGACCTTTGATGGTTACTGTTGAAGGGCTACTGGTAGTTTCTGACCGAGAACTTGATGCTGCGGTTCTGGAGGCGGTCGATGAGACTGGTTTTATAGAAGGCGGCTCCTGGCGTGTACACACCTCCCCTGTCAGTGACGGGAGAGAAAAGAGGGAGATGCAGAGGAAGAGTGGGGCGATACTTGGATAAAAGTGGAAGGCAGATATAGAGAAGACAAATCTTTCCTATTCATGACAGAGAGGGGAGCAGAGTAAAGGAAATAAAAAAAAAAAAGACAACCGACCTCCTGGGAAGAGAGTGCAATTCATTCAGCATGGTTACAGCTGCTTGCACCATAGCAGACACTGTGGCTACATAACCGGGCTCTGTCAACAACGAGAAACAAACATGGAGCCAAAAAGTTTTAAAAATGTCTCAAAATGTTGCAAAATATTGTTCATAACACAAAACACACTGACAGTTGAAGGTATTATTTCCACTATGAGGTGCTTAAAGAATAAGTCTGGTGATATTTCATATTTTCCTTACTGTAAACAAAACCAAAACCATCAATGAATGTATCTCATTAACAAGTGCTGTGTGTGTATCCACAGCCTGATCTACATGTAGCTTATTCTCCTGTGCCATAGACTTCCATTAATGTCCAAATATCATTAATACACATCAATTATTCAGTGTTACACTGAGTCACATGTTCCTTTGTTACCATGAACACACGAACACACGAACACACACACTTCTTTTCTTTTGACTCAATCCCACATGCACCATCCAGCTGCCATAAATTCTCATTTGTTCATATTAATCCGCAGCTGAAAATAGTTTTTACTCCTGTTTGAGTCATGTTTGTGAAAAACTACAGTGCCCAGCAGTTGAATGACATGAATTGTATGACAGCTATACCTCCATAGTGAACAAGTCTCACCTGCTCCAACAACCTGAGTGCAGATCTTAGCGTTGGGTGGTCCCTGTGAGGGGTCCGTGCCCTCCGAGTATCCCTCCCCAAAGAACGTCAGGCTGAAACAGGTGTCTTCGATCTGAGAGGAGAGAAACGATAACGAGAAATGATGAGAGGGGAAGTCGAACAGTGAGCAACTGTGAGCAGACCAATCATTGAGAATCAAGCAACTTACTGTACAATGAAACATGTTAAATACATGATTACATGTTTGGGGTTGTTACTACAGAATTTACTGTCTTTAAAATTATTATTTTCAATAACTCATTGTGGTTTGTGCTGTAATCACATACACTTTTTTTTGTCACAAGCATAATATTAGAATAACTTAAATCTTAACCACCCTGACCAATTTTTTTGCTTTCAATTGATTTTGAGGCTCCCATGTACAAGAACTGTAAAACATCCATTTTAGGAACATTGTAATTCCACACAGGTCACAACAATGTGAATACATTTACTACAAAAATAAACTCTCTCACCTGCTTCATGGTTGGACCGGCCTTGCTAAACAAGCCAAAGGAGAAGAATGATGGAAACTTTGGGAAAGACAAAGAACCAAAAATCAGTTTGTTGTGCAAAACCCTATAATTAATATTTTCACTCCTTAACTCTTTCGCACTTTTCTTGGATTAAAACAAGCATTAAAACTGTATAATCCGTGTTTTTTTTTTTTATACATTTCTCTGCTTGCAAGCATCATAGTGTCACAGTTGTTACCACTCTGCTGCTGCTGTATTTAACATGAGTAGATTTGAGTAAGCCTTTCAGCTAAACAGCCACATCCAACTGTGACATTCATCCACATTTAAATGCTTGAAATAACCATCTGAAGTCAGTGTCTCAAAGCTTTTACTGTCTTTAATCAACTCCACAACCAAAGGACTAAATACCACAGAAGGCAGATGCAGTAAGCAGCTGTCTGAAAAATGATGGAGCTACCATGGTGAGGAGTTTCCTGCCCAGGCTGAATTTAACCATGACCCAGAAGAGTAGGCCGCCACAGAAGAACTTGGCGATGGAAAAGAGGCCGCCGACCCCAACGTACGCACTGTACTGGACCTGTGGGCAGAGAGAGGCAGGGGGAGAAGGAGAACGTGTATGATATACAAAAGGGTAATGAACGGTGACAGGGAGGGGAACAGATAAGGGGACGCAGATAACAGTTGCAGGTGAGGGGAAAATGAGAGATGAAGGGGAAGCGGTAAGCTGAGAGAGAAAATGGGGAGGAGGGGAATGGCACAGAAGAAAGGATAACAGATGAAAGTGAAGTGATAAAAGGAAAAGGGAGGAAGGCGGTGGGAGTGAGGGCGAGCAGAGGGGGTGAGGATGAAGAGAAGGACGAGGGTGAGAAGAAACACAGAGTCAGGATGAGGGAGCAGGAAGGAGGAGTGAAAGAGAGAAACAGTTGGAGGAAGAAAAAAGGAGCAAAGCAGGACGGAGGGAGGGAAGGAGGGCGAGACGAGATGAGATGTCAAAGGGAGTAATGAGCAGCGGGGAAGAAAGTGATGAATCACTACAGATGACTCATCATATTTCCACTCCGCTGGTAGATGGCGGTCTAAACAACATAATGAGATAGTTTCATTAAGGCCTGTGTCGCTGACTGTGATCAAAACAGTGACAGCTGCTGGAGCGGCTGACCTAGTTACAGGTACAGCGGGGGAAAAAAAAAGGTCTCGCTTCTCACTGCCAGGATGCAGAGTCTTCCACATATCTGAGATAAGAAGGAGAGTGTGTTGTTAATATTAAACCTTTTTGTGTCACTTAATGCAGCGTAGCAAACCGTGTTCCGCAGGGACACAGATAGTACTGAGATATTAGTGATTCATGCTCAGTTAGGGCCTGCCAAATTATTATATATTTAATATATTATACAATATTTAAATGTAAAGTCAACTTTGATTGTACCTTATGGTTGGAAAGCACAATGAGCTGGGGGATGGAGTGATTAACCTTCTTGAAATGACTGCAGATATCATTTGTGGAAGTGTACTGGCCTAGTTTCTAACCTCAATGGCACCTATAGGTACAGACTAGACTTACATCAGCATCACAGCCAACACATTACTGATATGTATGGTCGTTACTATTATAACAAGTAGATCACAGATTACAGTTGAATTTGCTCACAAACAAATATGGCATTACATAGACTGTGTAACCTTTGCTGAACAAATGGTATTTATGACGAATATTAGTATGTTTCTAACTATTGTACATTATTATTATTATTTTTGGCTCCCTAACAGCATCAGGTAAAGATGACTTGCATGAAGACTTGCATTTTGGTTAACTACATTTATATTTATTCGAATGTTAATTTACATTGTCCTTTTTATAAATAAATAAAAATAAGTTATTAAATTGAGAAGCATAGAGTCAGCGAACTGACACAGTGATGTCACTTATACAGCAAAAAAATGAGCTAACCATAAGCTACTGGTCAGACCAGAACAAGAACAGCTGCAGCAGTAAAACCCCTGAGTGGACTGAAGTGAGCAAAGGTGCAATTTGCTGATTATGAATTACCCTTTTCTCTTGAAAGAGGAAGAGGCTGTTAGTTAAATTCTTTTATCAAAGTTACAGTCTTGCTTTAAAGGTGCCCGTTTTCATGTTAAACACTGTATGCGTTACATTTATTTATTTATTTATTACATTTGCAGGGCTGATCCAATGTTCTACTAGCACTTGGAGAAGAATGCAGGTGATATGATCATTCTTCCCTATAACAAAGGGAGGTGCATGACAGCTCTATGACATCCCTCCCTCCCCCCAAGCTGTTCCACTGACAGTTGGTGGCAGTGAAGTGTGAAATAATGTCAACAATGGACCAGGAAAAGGTGAGGAGAATTTCAAAGTATTAAAAAAAGAAATCAGCTCTGATGAGGAAGGAAATGCAGTCAACATTTAGTCGCACTCAGGTGTAACTGTGTCCTACAATGCAGCTTTAACTACAACCACTGCAATCAATAAGTGGAAACATGGTCTCAGTCCTTGTGTTGTTATAATCTTACTGGCGACTGGTGTTCCTCCTCGTAAAGGAAACGCTGGGTTCTCTTGACTACTGATGGATCAGAACCCATAAACGGAATGGCGTACTGCTCAATCTCCTTGCTGAAAAACACAAAACCCCTGGACACACACACACAAATTACACAGAGAAAAAGCAAAGTGGTCTTCACTCTCCAAATCTATCTCTGCCTGCAGCAGCAGAACTTGAGCATATTTCATCCATTGATAGTCCTCTAAATCTGTCCCTCCATCCCTGCCAGGCCCCACGTCCCAATAAAATCTCACTGGATGTAACTCAGCCAGACAGTAATAGTTTGCAAATTGCAGCCATCTTGTGGAAACTCTGCACCTCAAAATGTGCTGGATTTTATACAGTAACATAAAGTTGACATGCAGTATATGTTTTGTGGCCCTGAGCCTGAACTGAATAGTCAAGATGGAGGTTTTCATTCCAAAACATCAACTATTTATTTTAACATTTGTACCACATTATGTACAATTACATTTCATTAAACTATATTTATTTCATGATGATTGCATTTGTTCAAATAACACTATATTGTAAATGAAGGTATCATTAACACTTTGGAATCAAACTATTGAAATGTAGGTCAAATGTAAAAAAAATATATCAGTGTCAGTGGGAAAATCCCTCTCTGCTTGTGCACTGAGGAAACACACTTACCCCTGTCTGAACTTAATGCTGCCAAGCCCCACATTCCAATAAAAATGTTATTACTCAAAATAAAAATGTTTTAGCCAGACAGTAATTGTCTTACCTCTTTTTGACTTTGGCTCCCACCACTGGCAGCGGCTTGTGGCCAAACTTCTTCCTCAGCTGGCGCAGAGAGCCACTATCTGCGAAGCCATACACAGCAGACTGCCAAGTGGCATCATGACCGGACGACCCCTGTGAGGATTGACAGCACTTTTTAATCGTCACAGGTCACAGTGCGGGAAAGCAATGCTACCCAATTTCCTCCTAATAAACAAATGATAACCAAAGCCGAAGACGAAGCCACCAGTTCTGAAACTGCAGTGTGATCACACAAAAGCAGCCAGTGGCACGTTGTGGTTATACATCAGCATATTTAGTTTAAAGAAAGATTAAAAATGTTATTGTAATATCACTATCCCCCAAAAGGACGATAGCTCCTGTGCTGACAGTATCTGATCTATCTCTCTGTTTACTCTCAATTTCCCCAGAGCTTTTGTTAGACGACCTTTCTGTCACAAGGATATTGATTCTTGTGCTCCATACTTGTGTTTGCTGTGAGTCATTTTTAGGAAATCAGTCCTCTTCTAACTGCTCTAATTCGTAGAAGTAAAATGCAATTTTTTTTTATTTCAAAAATGTATTCAGCTGGGGCGTCGAGTGGCGCAGTGGGGTTGAGCAGGTGCCCCATATGTAGAGGCTACAGTCCTCGCTGCAGTCGGCCCCGGTTCAAATCCCGCATCGGACGGCCCTTTACTGCATGTCATTCCCCCTCTCTCTGCCTCCCCATTTCCTGTCTCTCTCTACTGTGCTATCATAAAGGCATAAAAAGCCCCAAAAAAATACAAAAAAAAATGTATTCAGCTTTGTGCCTGCATTGATATTTTCTGACATGTTCTAATATATACTATTCATGATTAGTCATATCCTTATTGTCTTTACTTTGTGCATTTATAGTGACAGCTCAAGGAGAAAGTGTAACAGATTACATTTCCCATCATGCAGTGTAGAAGCTGTAGTTGTTCAGGCTACCTCAGGCCCACTGCTTATTTTCAGGAAGCTCTCCACAGCTGTCAGTGTTCCTGAAATCAGATAAAACACACAGTTGAAGGCCGCACTCCAGTTAAAGTTTATCTGGATGGAAAATAATAATTCAAACGCAACGTTCTGCTAAACTTGCCATTGTTGACCTTTGTATAAATTGAACCAAAAAAATTCTGACTCTATTTGTTGATAAATGAAAAATCTGAATTATTTATTAAGAAAAAAGATTTTTCTGCATTTGTAACTTGTGTTGTGTATAAAAAATAACCTTGCAAGCACTGCAGTGTTCGGCGTGTCTAGTGATGTACACCTTGATTTAGTGATTTTTACCTTCAGTGAATAAACCGTTTACAGGCTTTTGATTCATAATGGCTGACTTCAACCTGTCTTCTGTTTCCTACCTTTGAACTGCCTCTGTGTGTAGAGAATTCCCAGGTCTGCCGGTATGGAGTCGAAGCCACAGCTGCCAATCACATACACTCCTCTGTCCAAGGCGTTAGTGTGATACTCCAGCTGCATGCGTTCTAGGAACTGTTAAGGACGGACATTCATGTACAAAAATCAAAAATGCACAAAAACACAATGAGATGCAAATACGGTGTGATCTTCAGTCGACTTTAGGAGCAGTCATAACCAGGCTATAAAATATGATATAGAAGAAAAACATGGGAATGGCATTTAACCACACACTACCTGAGGCTCCCCACAGATGTCTACATAGTGAGCTCCATTTTCTATGCAAGCTTTCACCACTGGTTCGCCGTAAAATCTGTACTGAAAGTACAAAGACAGAATAGAGAGCATTGTTCAAATACAAACCACATGATATATGAGATATCATCTCTTAGTTTCCTGTGTGTCACTCCCTGACAAAATACTTACTGGTCCCACACAGTTGAGAATGACCACACCTTGTTGGCACATGATGGCCAGTGATTCCTCAATAGACACATCTGCAACAATGATCTCAGTGTCTGTCCTTAACTCGGGCATAGCTGATAAAACAGAATAGAAAATATTTCACTGAATGTACAGTGGATAACTCTTACACATAGCCCTAACCTGATTTGTATGGTGTGTTCATGTCGGACTAGAACTGCTAAACCCCTACATTCAATGTACTGAAGGTAGGCTGAAAAGCCTTTTTGAGCCACCTGTATTCCCAGGCTATTACCAACAAAGCTGAAAAGATTAGATATTATTAAAAATGAATATAATATTGTCTCAGTGCTTACAGTTGCATATGATAAATATGAAATGGGGGGTTCCGCTGTAATAACCTGACAAACTGTCCATTTATGAAGCTAGCTAGGAGTTTTGGAGCAAAACAATTACTAATATTTAGGGGTCAAGTACAAAACTTCACTTCTAGCAACATAACCTCCCACAGACGACAACAACAGCTCAGCCTGCTGCCTCTGTCAGTCAGCTGAGTACAATATCCTGCGGCAGTGACACATGGCCTGACATTTGATCGTTCAGGCCTGACCGCAAACACTCCTGTCTGAGTTAGCTACAGTCCAGCCTGTTAAGCACATACACAGCCTCCCTGCGGCTTTTTCCAGCACTGCTTCCAGACGCTGTCTGCTTCTCCCGGCCACGGCCCATTTCAGAGAGCTGTCCCCGGGTGTCTCCGCGGCACATCGTGCGACTTCCTCAACAACAAACTGCCCTGTGAACCCTGTGGCACCGAAAATGATAATGTGGTAAGGTCTGTCAGAGGTTGCGGCCGCCATTGTTTACGTTTAAGTTCAAGGTCCCGCCGCCTAGCAACGCTACTTCCGGTTGTGTGCGCTGATTGGCTGAGAACGGACGTAATGCTCTTACATAATAAACGTACACCTCATAGGCGGAGCGGGGGGGGGGGGGGGGGCTTCATAGTTGCCCAGGAAAAAAAAATCATCCTAAGCCTGTATTGTATTTTGAAAATAATTTTTCTCTGTCTCCATCATTCTGAAACCACAACACAGATTTTGACAATGACTAATTTTCACTACTGTCAGATAGAGAGGCAAAGATTGTCTGATGTGTCTATTTTGAATTTACACGACATAGGTGGGGAATGAATTTGGCATAAACAGCATCACTTCTCTTGACACCGATTTTTGTTACACTATGCTGAGTACAGTTCACAGATTTAATGTTTAGATGACAAATCTACATTTAAATCCAGACCATAATAATATGTGCTGCTCTAACTGAGCAGTCATGGATCCACAAAAAGGCCAAGTGAATGTCTTCATGACTCTGAACTGAATATTAGGCCGAATTGAGAACATTTACTGTAATGATATTACATTTCTTTAAAGAATAGCATCATAGGATAAACAACATGTACATGTACTGTGATATTATCAGACAGTATTTTGTTTGATCTACTACGGATCACTCTGTTCTTATTCCCTCCTCTTTTCTTCTGTCACTCTCTCAGCTCCACTCATCTCTCCCTGGAAATGTCCTGCTGACTGCTTCTGCTGCTTTGCTCATATTCATCAAGTCAAGTCCAGTGTAATCCTAGATCACCTGTGAAAAAAAAACATTGCTATCATGGAATTACATTTTCATTTTCAAGTTTCCATGATTATCTTAATAATCCCCAATAAGCTCCTATAATGACTTTAATATTTATAATTTTAGCCTGTTATTTTTCCAGATGCTTTGAGGATGGAACACTACATCATAATCAGGGATTGTGCATTTAAAGGAGAATCCAACCCTTTTTAAGAATTCACATTTCTTATTCCTGTGCCCCAGAACAAACTGGTGAATATTTGTGAACATGCAGCAGTAAGAAACCAGAGGGAGAACCTTGAAATGTGCAATGTCATCCCAGTTTGCTCTATAACAATGAATGGGGATCTGATGCTGTGAGGCCATAAAGTAGGCCTATTTGTGTAATTTCTTACACTAAAATGAATGTTTCACATTTTAAGCTTTATATCCAATTCAAAATCTGAATGAGACCTGTTAGGAGGAACTCTACACAGCTACTGTAGATTTTGGGGTTAGTGAGGGAATTTAGTGGCTCAAAGTCATTTCAGCTATATAACTTCAGTAGCCTGACTCAATTAAAAAGAGTAATGCAATTCCTGCGTTCCACATTTTCATTTGTCACCTCTGACATTTAATCAATACACATCTGTTGATTCTTCACAAAGTCAGTGCCGCTTGTGTTAATCTGTGGATTCTCTCTGATTTCTAGCTTTAGGACAGATAATTCAGATTTAACTGTCCTCGGGCCCAGGAGTAACATATGTGACATTTAAACCTTTCATTTAGTCAAAATTGCTTTCAAATCAATGAACTGTATGTTCATGAACGCTGTGATTATTATTTATTAGTAACTTGAACATCGTGCACAGCTGCTGTTGGACTTATACTTGCAGTTTTCCTTCACTTACCACGGCAGATTATTGATTTTTGTCGCTGCTTGTGGACTTCATGCTGGTTCACTCTGTGTCCATGAGAATGTGAGTTCTTGTGTTGTGTAAATGTGTCATTTAATAAAACAGCATGTTATGTAATCTGATTCTATCCTGCATCTAAGTGAAGGCGTGGCTGGCGTGGGGAAAATAGCAGGAAATTAACAAACGCCGTGCGGGCCCACCGCAGGCCGAGGTAAAAACACTCTGAAACCTCCAGCACGCTTTATATGCTGTATGCACGAAGAAATCAACTGCCCGTTACCGGAAGTAAGTCCGACTGAGTCAGAGGCTTTGAATTTACTTTCTCAGCAAAGTGGTTCGAGAAAATGTTCATTTCTTGATGCTTCATGTGAACAGTGCGACATTTACTGGCCTGAATGTAAAACAGGCAAACGCAAACGTTTGTATATCACAAACTGAATATCAGTAAAAGGGAAACCATGATTGTAGTTTATATTCTAAGTATACATTTATAGTAATTACTGTAAAAGTATGGAGGTATTTTTGTGCCTCATTTCTGAGCGCGCACAGTGGGACTTTCTGTGCACAGACACCTGTTCTCCTGCTGCTCTTCAGTCCAGTAAAGTAAAGACAATAAGAAATTAAATGCAGAAATCCAATTAGCATTTTCATTTTCTCATACTCGTGGGCGTTCCTTGAATGAAAACTGAAAAGCTATTGACTTAACCTGCTCTACAGTGACAATATTCAAATACAATAAGCAAACAGCGCCCACGGCCCATTGCATTTACATTTACATGTCACTTCTCTGCTTTGGGGTCAAAATGAAAATGCAATCTGTCAGTCCTCTCATCAAGGCAAGTCATCAGTTAGGATGTAACTTCCTTGTCACCTGTTTTAGCAGCAAGTCATAAATGACACAAAGGTCCACTGTGATATGCACTATTTAGTTTTGTTGAAAACTTTGTGGAGTTAAACAGAAATCTGTCAGAGCAGTTGAACAGCTTCTCCCACTCTGTGTGACGTCACTTATATGCATTTAATATTTTTACATCTTCAGTTTATGATCAGAAATATTAAAACTCTTTTAGTTTTATATTTTCTTTGAGTGGGGGAAATTTCCAGGGATAGATGAGTGGAGCTGAGAGAGTGAAAGAAGAAAAGAGGAGGGTATGTGAACAGAGTGATCCAAGGGAAGATCAAATAAAATTCTGTATGATAATATTACAGTACATGTCCATGTTGTTTATCCTATGATGCTATTGCTTAAATAAATGTAATATCATTGGAGTAAATGTTCTCCTGTTGGCCTAAAATGAATGAATTTCCTGTAGGGGATAAATAATCTATCTATCTATCTATCTATCTAATATTCAGTTCAGAGTCATAAAGACATTCACTTGACTTTGTTGTGGATCCATGACTGCTCAGTTAGAGCAGCACATATTATTATGGTCTGGATTTCAATGTAGATTTGTCATCTAAACATTAACACCTGAACACATTAGTCCATCTTTTATTGAATGTAGCAACCATCTGTTTTACGAATTAGCCTAAATAAACAATATATAATCTCAAGTGAATGTGAAATATGACGGGTAAGACACATGCTGGTCAGACTTTGCTGGATTGTCGACACAATAGTTTTAGTAGCTCTACCCACACAGTACGTTGCAGTATGACTGCAGCAGTTTGTATGTGAGTGAACTTTCTAGAGAAAACGGTTGTTCATTCTGAGGTGTACAGTGACATCTAGTGACGAAACGTAAGTATTACATGTAGGGAATTGGTGGCTGGTGTCAAACCCCTGAAGAGCATGAATATACAACCATATTCTACTAAAAAATCTTTATGATTATTAAATTGGACACATTTAATTTAAAGTTTAGAGATTCTTTTCACCAACCATGCCACAGTTAAAACAAGCCTTAAAAAAAGAAATCACAATGGCAAATGTTAATTTTTTTTTTGTATTCCCTTGTGGACACAACTTAACATAAATATTGAACCATATAAAGATGGATTGCAAAATGTAAAACATGTAGGTAAACAATAGCCACAGTGACAATACAGAGGTAACATTCATCATTTTGCAAACATCATGAGTTTAGAAGGAGAGTTGAAATCGGTTAAAAAAATATCAACACAAGGCAATGGATGAAGGAACATGCTGAATTTCATTATCTCCATTCCAATAAAATGTGTGTGTATACAGGTATATTTTCTTTTGTGTTACCGGGGCCAGCCCAGAAACACAACTGTTGCTCCATCAAGCTCTGCTCTTGGACAAAATGATATAAAGGACAGCAAACTAGATATTCAACTCCCAATGCATATAAAGGCAGCCTCCAGATTGTGATTATAACACAATGGCCCAATTAGCTCAGTGTAAAAAAACACATTAACACTCAAGAATATGAAAGTTTTTGGCCAAAGTAATAATGTACTTATTCTTATTTTTTTTGCCTGTTTTTGAATGAGATCTGATGTCCAATGTGCACACAACCTAAATGCATCTCCTCACTGCATTGGGATTTTAATATCATGGTGTAGCTGTTTGCACACTGCAGGAGAAGACTGGAACTGATTGTAAATCCAGATGTAGAGGAGGAATTTTAAAGCTACACACCAAAGGATGAACATGAAAACATAGAGCACCAAAAGTATAAACACAGGTTACATGCCTGAGTTTGTAGAGTGGCTGTTAAATTACTGTTTTGTATTCTGATAATCATGATGACCACACTGAAATTAACCTTAAAACACAAATGTATTGTGTTATAAGGTGGTAGACTTGATTTTTTTTTTCTTTCATACAGAGAGCCACGCTCTTCCTGAATCTACATATACAGCATCATTCATGCAGACTGTTTCATGATGCTGTTTTTAATAGGACATGTTAACATATAGCGCTATCATATACAGTACAATGCTTCTCTTTGAGCTGGTCGTCTTCAGATAAGAGGAATGTAAAGTATAACCACTTATGTTGAGGTAAACACGCAATTATGAAATTATCCGTTTCAGTGAAAGGATCACAAAGGCTCATCTGGAATCAAGGTGTTTCAAAATAAGATAAATCTTTTTTGTCTTGCTGTAGAATGTGTCTGATATACAGTAGATACACAGTATATTCATTAATAAAGATGGGTCAAAAGAGCAAACAATAATGGTAACATGAAATTAAAAGGAAAAGAAAATCATCATTTGGCCCATTAATGGTACAAAGAAACAACACACAGTAATGATCCTAATGATAATAAAGATGCTAAAGACATCTTCTCTGTCTAAGTCAAAATAAAACCGCCAGAACAAGAAAACCTCTGGAACAAAAGACAAATTTATCCACCGCTACAACTGCTACAATTGTGAGGGAAACACTACTATATACTGTAGATAAACTACTTCAGTTAAAATATAAATATAGCAGAGAGTTGTGACCTCTCGTGTGGTCATCTGTAAGGTTCAGTTTGAAGATGAAACATCCACACAGACAGTAGTAAACAAGTTTTTTTTTTTTTTTTTTTTTAACTTTCATCCTACAACATGCACACATCATCACATGTTTTTCTTCTGAGGTGAAGAAATTTGGACAGTTTTTACTGTTTTTTTTGTTTGTTGTTGCTTTGAGCACTCGGTTACCGACACAAAAATCTTAGTCCATTTGACCAAATTTACAAGTCTTAGTGGGATGTGAGCTCTTTTGCTGAGACATGAGTCCAGTCACTGTAGAAGGAGTCAAAGCTTTAAACACTCTGCATGGCAGCATCAGATTAATGCCTGTGGGTCCTGTATCTGTACAGTCTTAGTCTGGGACTCTTTCATCCTCACTCTCTATTTTACACTCAGCACAAATGTCTGCTTTTGTCTGGAGAGCAGATGAAGCGGCCTTAAGTCCGGAGGGGCAGCCAGTGTCCGAGCCCTTCAAAGAACCTCCGTGCGTTCATGACGTAGAAGTTGACGTTCTGAGTGAAGTCGGTGCAAATGTTGGAGTAAGTGTCCACCAGGGTGCAGTAGAGAGCGGTCCCGCCTATGCTGATCACCACAGTAACCAAGCACAGCAGCAGGAGGATCAGGCAGGAGTCTCCACCTACCTCATCTGAGAAGTAAGAAATATGGCACAAATGTAATATGCTTCTTTATAGTGTCATTTGATAGTACATCTGTAGCTCCTGTGCGTCCATGCTTAAAATCAGTGCTGGAATTGGCAAGAGTGATTCAGGGTATGCAGCTCATGAATGTATTTAGAATAGAGGAGAAGTTAAACTGTACCTTGTTCAATGCCGTCCTCTGGTTCGCTGAAGCGAACTTTGCGTTTGGAGCTCTGTTTAATAGCAATGTCGCTGGGCGGAGGCAGTCCATCCAGCGACGCTCGCCTCCTCTTCAGAATGGAGACCAGACCATCAGGAGAAGAAATCTGAAGGAGACACAAAGAAACAGAAAATGAATGTTTTCCTCTTGTCACATTTACATCCTCAGTAGCAACTAATGGGCTCGGGCCTGTCTGTACAGTCGGGTAGGGAAAGTATTGAGACATGGACCAACACTTTACTTTAAGTTAGTATAAGTAGTCAACAAGCATGCACAGAAATAACATTGAACTTTTAGAAAACGCAAGTTGGAAGTGATTTGTTTATCAGACTGCTGAAATTTTAAAACAAAACCTTAATCCTCATTATAATTACCCTCTGGCATAATGAATCAAACACCTAAACCTCATGTTAATGAAATAGCGGTACCGTTTGGTAAATTCCCTAAAAGTCAGTGTCAATGAAAGGAAAGTGTCATCAATTAAGGTCGGTCAAAAATTAGTTAAACTAATTTTTATATAACTAAATAATCTTTTTTTAAGTGTAGTGTGATAGCCTCCTGTAAGAAGAGGAACACAAACTAGGAGGTTTAAGTGGTTTGCAACGTGGACCATGTGACATTCCCAATTCAATTCCAGCAGAGAAACTTTATCATCACCCTCTCTCTGTCCTTGAGCCTCCTGTTTCTGTGCTGTCATACTGTCGAATAAAGGCAAAATGCCAAAAAAAAACCTTTAAAAACAGACAAATAGAATAAAAACATAAACTATTAGAATAGTAGAACATCTTGTTCTAAATAAGGACAGTAAAACCACAGGACATAAAAAGAAATACACCATAAAACACAATCAGTGGTGCACAATGAACAGGCTTTATCAGGAGACTACTGTGAGACTGGCTGTATGTTTGGTATTAGTCAACAGAAGACCAACAGACCAGCTTTTTAGACGAACTGGAGCTGAGCCATAGAAGCTTGGCTGGGGCAAGTAAACACAGATCTGCAGAAGCACAGGTGTAACAACACAGAGGCATAAATGATTCTCTCTGTGTTGGAAAAACACAGCAGGCCTGACTGTGGTAAAGTGTTTCTGTTGGAGAGCATAATTGGACAAACTCAATACCAGAGTCAAAAGGGAGGAATTCCTTGGATTGTAAATACTGTTATTCAATGCAAAAAAAAAAAGAGCTTTTGACTGATGTTTGAAAAGACACAGTCAACAACAGATGTACAGTCAGCAGAGGCCAATCCTAGTAGATCTGAAAACACCTCCCATCCTGAAGAAAACCTTTTTGACCTGATTCTAATCTCTCAACCAGCCACGAAGCAGAAACAATAACACAGAGTGTGGGCATATGCTGACTAGAGAAATGGAGTCATCTCTCAAGCTGTCAGCCGCATCTGCTGCAATAATTTATAGGTCAATTATTCAGTGAGGTCAGTGGGTCAATACCACGCTGGATCTGTACAGAGGTACATGCGTATATCATGTTTTACTGTTTAGGCCACATTCTGGAGCACAAGTAAAGCCCTGTATAATTCAGTATTTGCTGTTTTACCACTTTGTGAAATGGACATATGCAAGGTTTGAGAAATCTTCAACCACAATAATATAAGACTGCTGGAGGTGGCTGTGACCACCCAAGGCAGATTATGGTTGCGGTAAAGTCGTTCTGGATATAAAATAATCAGTGGGTTCACTCGATGTGGCTCAAACATCAGTAGGATTAAGGGGTTTGTTTGATTTTCTGTTTTGATGATAGTAGTTTTCTTTATTGGATTAATCGTTGACAGTATTGTTCTTAATTAGATTGGATTAGATTAGACTGGATTAGATTAGATTAGAAGTGATTAGAATAGATAGATTAGAATGTTGCCTCCGATGAAAAAATGTCACACACTAGTAATATTTTTTCAGTTATTATAGACATTTTGATGAAATCAATGGTTTATTCAGGAATAAACCGCTGGGAAAAGCAAAATAGTATTTACAGTCAAATTATGAGTCAGTAACGTTGGTATTCATGCGTGGACATTAGTCTGACTCGACCGATGTGACATTAATGAACAGCAGCAAACAGAAGTGAACTAAGAGAAACATTCAAAGCCACAAAGCATCATATATAATGACTCATTTGTAGAGGAAGACTATGTCTTTCAAATATTTCTAACGCCTTATTGTGCTCTCAGAGCTCATCCCAGGGCTTCTGAAAGGACACAGTATGGCCTTTTCACATAACACACTTGCAACAAAGTGATCTATTATATAGCCCATAAACTGATGCTGCTGCCTGCTGCGCAGTGTTTTCCAGGAGGTCACTGTTTTGGTCGGCTGAGGACTGAATGAGCAGAGAGCTTGTTTTTGAGCATGACTGTGGCTCTACATGTTTCTGTTAGTTCGGATCTGTTTGCTGCTGTTCATTTTTGTCAGTCAAGCTCCATGATTCAATGCCTCAGCTTATGTCCATGCATCAATACAACCACAAGCAAGACCCTCAACACATTTAGTCAAAAAATATATTTCCATCAAATTTGACGGAGGTTTGACATGAAATTATAGTGGTTTTTCACAGCCCTTGCTTTTCTGGCCAACTGCAAGTCACAAGGAGATACTTCCAGTTCTGTGCATTAATATTTAATTTCTAAAATGGGTTGTGTAATTGTTGATTCACTCCGTTTAGTATCTTGTAATGTGACTACAAAAAGGGAAAAGGGGGAAAATATAATCTTGCTAGTAGAAAACCAGCAAAACACTCATGAAATGTGATACAATATTTACAAAGAAAGGAGTCCCACTCATGCCCCACCCAATCAAATCTCCACTGGATTACATAACAGCCATGATCCTGACCCCATCAATACGAGGCCTTCAGCTTGTACTGCTTATTTGGAATGGCTCTGATTTCATCCCAACCTCTAGGAAGAACCAGGCCCCTCCAGCTCAGTGTTCGAGCCAGGACACGATGTCTTGGCTCAGGCACTGACTCAGTAATGCAGCACATTTGGCAGGGTAGACATCCCGAGTGTGAGGCCACACCAGTGAACTAGGGTGGAGGTTTTTGAACATAGAGACGCTGGTGATGATCTCACTACACAGATATCTTCAGTGGGAGTGTCCCAGTAAAGACAAAGAGCTATGTGGGTCAGGATGTGGAACTTAAACAAATACAGTCTTAATTTTTGCAGGTAGAAATTATAAAAGACATAAAAACGGAGGAGATCAGAGAGAGGAAGAAAGGAAGGAAGGACAGATGCATGCGGGGATTGATGGATGGATGCGGGGAGGAAGGAAAGATGAGAAATATCAAGCAGGGATACAGAGTAGGAAACAATATTTAAACCCCTCCTGTCTGCATTACAACAGCTCTCCTTTACATATTCACCTCACATCCGTCATGTCCACACTGCATTTACACTTAATATAGAAACGTTTCACATAAAAATGAGAATCTACTTCATCCTTCCAACTTAGATTAGAAATAAAAACCAAATGTCAAGCCAGACAAACACACACCAGAGGAGTAGAAAAAGTGGATTCCTACCCCTTCTGTGTGGGACAGTTTGGCCAGGTCCTTGTCTGAAGCCTGGGGAACTCCTGTTGGCCACTCCACCTTCACCTCCTCCTCCTCTGGCGTTTCCTCACACGGCACCTCCTCCTCCTCCTCTTCTTCTACTTCCTGTCCTTCCTCATATGTCTCCTCCTCTTCCGCTCCTTCCTTTTCCCCAGTTTCCTCCTGATGGTCGGTGTGTGGTGAAGATAGCTCTGACTCTGAGTTCACGTTTTGCTCTTGTTCTCCGTCCTCGTGTGACGTGTCAGGATTGTCGACTAGAAAGGTGGAGAAACACAGGACATTGGATATTGATTACAGATTATTACTCAAACATTACCTGTATGTGAACAGAGCCTTAATGTGTCCATGAGTAGATTAGTTTGCTCTATTATATGTCACTTTCAACTGTCTAAATAAAGAATTTAAGTAGTAAAAGTGAGTGCATTTAGATTGTCTCTTTATTTTATAGCCCTTAGAAAGCGCTCAAAGTTCAAATGGTTGCATCATCTTTGAGTCAAATTTTAAATTTGACCAAAACTAATGACCCGTTAGCCTCAGCAGTACTTTATCTTTAGTGCTAATTAGCAAACGTTAGCATGCTAATATGCTAAACCAAGATGGTGAACAATGCAAACATTGTACCTGCTTAGCATCAGGATGTTAGCATTGTCATTGTGGGCATGTTGGTATGCAGTTAGCATCTAGCACATAGCAGAGTTGCTAGCATGACTGTCCATCTCAGTCTTGTTTACTCCTTTGGTTCCGTATATAGACAATAATACACATACCTTTGTCATGACAGGGTTGTAGTGTCTGAATGTCTTTCAGCATTGTATTCAGAGTGTTCTGTTGAATCAAAACACAGATGACAGTAATTTATCATTTAGAAAAAGTCTGAGATTGATCTCTGATCAGTGTAGAAAGGGAAGATTTCCAGGTCTTACCTGCTGCACACTGATGGATGGGCTAAGTGATGCCAAAGAGAGAAAGAGACAAAGAAAGGTCAATACAGAGGACGATCAGACAGACAGCAGGAGAAAGAGAAAGCAGACAGGTGGAGAAAGGTCAGACAAAGTTAAAGGTATGTGACTTAAAGTTCCTCTCCAGACATGTTTTAAACCATGTTATGCTATGATTAATATTTTGTTTAACAAGGTTTTCCCATATAAAAAGTGAAAAAAAAAGGAAAACTGGGCCTTGAAGCACGTCTACGTTTACTTCCTCTTTGAGAAATTCTGGATCAGGCCTTGTGACCTGCCCACCACCACTGCTAGTGCTAGGTTGACAGGTTTGAGAGCAGAGCTTATCAATATGATTAGTGGAGGAAACATCAGAGGGACTCAGCCTCATGTTTGAGCCTGAGTCAGACCCAGGCTCAGATGAGGAGTCTGTTTTGACCAAAATCAGCGACTAGCAGGCGTATCGGAACTGTTAGCGTAGTTAGCATCTTTTATTTATGTTGTTTGTTAGCTTCTAACAGGCAGTAGCTGACACAGTGTTAGTGGTTGTGCTAATGCTAACTCTCCCTCATTACTGTTATGACAACGCAATGGTTCCTTAGGTTGGTGACAAATGAAACCCTGGCTGTCTGAGTCGGTTTTTATGAGACTGTCATTGGTTCACTGCAGTTCCAAGGTGGAAGAAATTCAGCAATGGTGTTGACTGGTTATTTCTCTCATGATATGTCTTGTATAAAAAAAAAAAAAAAACACCATATGGGCATGTTAACAAGGTTAAACACTCGATTTTCATCGGAGGGGGTTTTAACATATTTAAAAGCTAAAATATCTTCAGGCTTTCCGTCTGAAGCTGGCATCTCTTCTCCAGCCAAATCAAATCCACCTGCACAAAATGACCGTAGGCTGAAATCACATACCAGGAGAGTCACAGCATAGGTAGGACACAACAGTTCCTGGCATTCAGACCTGCGGTATTTGTCTGTGTCTGGAGGAAATCACTATCCTGCGGAAATCCTTTTCCACCCTGTCAGAAATATTGATGTTTCCCGATCGTTCCCATGTGTGTCTGCATCTTCAGTGTGTCTTCATGCATTATCAATGTGATGGCTTTGTCTACGACCCCTCAGTGTGTCGTGGAAGATAAACACAGAAGTTGATTACAGTAAGACAAAATGAGTGCTTAAAGGTTTATACCCGGCAGTGATGAAGGTAATGGGAGGAAATACAGATGGCATGAGAGATACTGAGAGTTGATTGAGCTCCTGCTGTCTGAGTGGGAGCAGAGCCACGGGAACACTCCACATAACTTTACTAAATATATGTTTAATGATAAAGAGATGCCGAAAAGTCTGGAGAGTCTGCTGCTGCCTCCAAACACCACACCCGGGGGAAGAATTGTTGTGGCAGATCACAAGATAAAAAAGGCTGCTGATGAATTCAGGTTCCCTCCCGTGTATCTCTGTGCTTCATCAACGTAGAGCAGGTTTGTCAGACCACAGAGACAAATGTCACGTGTAGGTGTTGTGGTATACCTGGGGTGTGTCCTACAGATTTGGCTCAGGGTCTCGATGTGCTTCTGACTGATGAGGTCTGTCTCAGCGGGTGAACTGCTCTCGGTGTTCTTCTCTTTCCACTGGCTCTCTGGGAACACATGTAGAGTACAGGTGCACACAAAATAAATGCGCACACACCCACTCTTTGTCTCAAGGATAGCACCGAATTGCATGTAGGTGTTTGATCACTAATATTTTACAGAGCTGAGAAAAACAGATGCACGCAATACCCCAGTTTTCCTGCAGGGCGGCAAGGTTGGAGAGCAGACGTTCATGGTAGAGCTTCTCCAGCTGCAGGAACTGAATGGCCCACTGGTCTGGTAGCAGCACAAGTTAAAGAAAGTTAAAGAGACTTTAAATCTAAACATCTCTGATTAACTACAGTTAGTTATTTTTTTTATAGTTTTTACATTGATCCTGTGTGTTCATTCACCCACATGTATGTAATGGCAAAAACTGGAAATACAACCCCTTAAAACAGCAACCATGATCCATTGATATTGTATACACTTAAATGACACTGTACAGCAGGGGTCCTTAATCATTTTTCTCATGACACTAAAACCAATTCCCACACATAAACACATACTTAGATTCAAGAGGCTGGCGGCTCCTTATGCTGCACAGATGCATTTTTTTAAATTATTAATAAACTGAAATTAATACATAACACAAGGGGGCAAGGTGAAGTAAATGGGGTCTCATCTGACCTAGAGGTTAGAAAGATAATCTTGTGACCCAGAGGTCAATTAAAAGAGTGGAACAATCTGGACAAGAGCATCAGCTAATTATGTCAAAAATATAAAACAAAAAAAAAACAAAAAACAAAAAAAGAACATTTTCCACTCACAGATACCATCAAGGATAGAGGCAGAGGAAATTACCCATTAGCCAAGACAAATGTGAATGTAGTATGTGTCAGTTTGAGACAGGACAGATTCAGATTGTTCCCCACACAAGACCGTCTTCCAAAAAAAGCAAAGGTATAAACTTCTACAGTGAATTAAAACACACATGCAGTTCTAGGGTTGGAGTTGTTACTGTTACTGAAGTAAAGTATTTGATACTTTGTTGGAGGAACTAGATGAGGCTAGCCATTTTCATAGATAACAAGAATAAATCAAACAGAATGTTATGACCATTTATAATGAGAAACAGTTAAGACTAAAGCAACTGAGAAATGAAGAAAGATAAACTGTATTCTAAAATTACTTTAAAGGCATTATCAAAAAATAAACTGACCAATTCGTGCACAGCTAACAATCATAATAGAGTAGTTCAGAAACAACATTTTTTGTTGGTGTGAGGAATCTGGAGAAAGAATTGGAATTACTGCCTTGCGGTTGTTTGCCTCCGCCCACCAGTCAAGTTACAGGAAATATGGTCACAATGTCTCCTTCTGTTCCAGAGTTGCAGCGCTGAATAATGGCCAGAAGTGTGTTTGCAGAACATTATGATGTCACACTGAAGTTGTCCTTTGACTGTTTGGATATATCATGTCATCACTTCTTCATTTTATCCTGTTAGACATTTGTTTTAAATTGTGTCATAATCACCGTATGAGTTTTTGTGGTTATGGCCAAAAACGTGTTTTGCAAGGTCAGAGTGATCTTGACCTCTGACCTTTGACCACCAAATTCTAATCAGTTCATCCTTGAGTACAAATGAATGTTTGTGCCAAATTTGAAAAAAATTCCCTCAAGGTGTTCCTGAGATATTGCGTTCACATGGATGGGACACACAGACAACCCGAAATCATATATTATGCCTCGTGGAGCCATTATAAAACTGGGGACAAAGATTCAGGTTTGATCTGAAGAGCTGTGAGCCTTGCCAAAATGAATCAGCTGTATTGGAAGAAATGACTGAGACTAAACAAATGTTCTGCTAAAAATCAGGGTTATGACACACTGTTGCATAAGTGGGATGTTACTCTGTCATGCGATTAAAAATGTTTCCCAACGAATGCCCCACTTCCCAACCCCCGGGCCTTTTTTTCATTCTATCTCCAAAAACCTCCGTCCCTATGCATTAAGCATTCTCTCTGTCTGTCTCTCCCATCTCACACGTAAACACACACACCATCCTCCTTGCAGCAAGACAGGCCGACAGCTGTTGCCAGGCCAACCGCGCAAACAGAACCAGAGAAAACTACTGCTGCTGCGAGCCCTCGGGGCTCTGAGCCAAAGCGTGGAGAACACCCAGTGACTGAGGGACAAGTGAACAGATAGAAAATAATGTGGCTGACACAAAGACAGGCAAACCAACTGAAAAAAAATTATTATTAACAGGAAGGTGTTTGCCTTTTGACATCAATGATATTTCATTGAATATTTAATTTTGTGCTTACATTTTGATGATACTTTTGGATTGCTGAATGGTAGCACCTTTGTCCTACAGCGTCAAATTCAAAGCGTTGAGGCTTTCATCAGACCAGGACGGGCATTGAAGGTAAGCCCCCATTCAGCCAACATAGATGGAAACAATTTCTCCATAGAGTAGAGATTAGAAAACACTCTTTTAATGTTTTTTTTTCCATTATCACAAGTGCCACTCTGGCTCAGTCATGATTCAGCTGGAAAATGCTAGTGATTGGTAAATGTTACAGCACCTGTAAACAGAGAAATGAGGTCACTGTGCGCTTGAAAGGATACAGTCCTCTTTGAGTGAGTAGGCCTCTGCAATCTGAAAAAAAAAGGTAATTGATTAAACAGGAGGTGCAGCTGATTCACAGGGTAGTGCAGTATACAGGACCGTACGTAAGCTGTGTTCCTCTGTGACTTAAAATAACTCCAAAAGAAATCATGTGACGGTGTGAAACATCGCCATTAAATCCATGAAAGTAATGCTGTCGAACACTAATTGGGCCGTTAAACCAAATGTACACGTTTCTGTTTGAAATTCACCAAATTCCTTCAAAGATGAGGGTCACATGGCAGCGTCATACCAAGAGGCAGAGACATGCAGACAACCTGGAGACATGAAGTCATATGCTACGACTTATGGTCCGGATTAACATGTCTCTGTGGGCTTTTTTTCCCCATCCAGACACTTTTACCTTCCTCTCCACCACTCGATTGTATGATTTGGTAAATCTAGAGATGTGGAAGTTTCTGTAATTCCCTGATACCAGGTAGTTTTAGGGCTGAAGCTAATTATTATTTTCTTATTGATTAGTCATTTGGGCTAAAAAGTGCCTCAAATCGTGCACACACTATATTCAGATTGCTTGTTTTATTTATCCAATAAATTAAATGTTCTGTCAAAAACGCATTAAGGAAAGTATCAAATCCGGCTGAAAAACAAGGACTACTCCTCAAAGGAACTGTTGATTCATTTTTGGTCGATCAGCTAATTGATTAATCTACCTAATCATTTCAGCTCTAATTAGTTTCCTACACCTCTCCGCTCAAAGTGGCCTCTGACCATAACTTTGACTGACTCATACACAGAGCGATGAACACGAACAGTAATGACCTTTTCTCTCTGTGTGCGTCAAACCCTGAATCATTGTTGGAACAGACATAGAGAAAGAAAAAAGTACACTGAACATTTTTTTTTACTTATTTTACATCGTAGACATTGCAGCATGGCAACACTTACTGTAGATAAGTAGAGTGAAAAAAATATTAAACCAAGGCATTGGATCAGAAAATATCCAATATTAAAAGACTTCGAATGGGGATCAAGAGCAAAGAAAACATTGTCGGGACGTCCCTGCTTTTTACTGAGGAGTCTCCTGAAACTAGGGCTGGGTATTGATATTGATATTGATACCTTGACTTCGATTCAGATTCTCAACAATCCTTTTTTTTGATACCAGTTTTATCAAATCCATTATAACAGAAAGACAATTACATTATTACTTCTTAGACTCACTGATCTTCTTGCATTCTCTTCTTAATTGTTATTCGTACGTGCACTTGTGGATGTCTCCTGCATTTATCATAATCACCATTTGCCACGAGCCGAACCTCCCATCAGGTGCAGACGTGCAAACTTACATGAAAGCCCAAAAACGGAGTAGTTACGCTATAGAAAACTCTTGTGCTGCTTTGATGAATTATTTTGTCTTCATTTTGAAATATTCGGTACACCAGAGTAGCAGCTTTGACCAAATATGGACCCTCGTTGTCAAAAAGACGCTGAGCATGTTGCTGCTAAAAGTGGGCCCACATGGGGAACATAGTTATCCGTAGCGTGCACCATCACTCACACCAACAGTCATTGCTTGTAATTTGAGTGTAATTGTCAAAAAATTATAACTATGATCATGTCATATTACTGCTTTTATCAAATGAGCCTGATCCTGATTACACTGCTGTGCCTCTCCTTTCCTTTCTTAGCATTTGAGGCAAAACAGCTTCGCCTTTGTTCCATGACTGCTGCAGTTGGCAGCGATGCAAACTAAACTACACACTGAGACAAATTAATCATATTGTTTAAGTACTGTTTGGAAATTGTAGCCAGCAAAGTATCGCGCAGCAAACATGAAGCCACTGATCTTTTGCCGTGATCGTTTTCTACCAAACACAGAGACCAAACCAAACTATATTTATCACACCTCTAATTAGCATGTCCGCTTGAATGCTGTAATTGTGATCTGAGGCAACAGGAGACGAACAAAGGGACAGAGGGTTGCCAGTTCAAATCCCTGCACCTGCTGGTGGAGCAGCTGCGTAAATGTTCTCTTCTGCTTCAGTAACTATTGATGGTGTATCCTTGAGAAATTTACCTGACCCTTTTAAATTACAAACTAAAATATCTTAGTGCATTTGCTCTGTGGTGTTTAATGTATTTGAGAAAACAGAGACTCTGGAATCAGGTCGCACATTAGGAGTCATATACTCAATTTACTGTCATGTAAGCGTACGGGTAAATGCATATACACACCCTCGCACAAAGCCAGTCTGTCGGACTAAATAAAGATAAGACAGATATTCTCTCTGGATTTGGGAGACCCACACACAGACCCACACACAGACACACACCTGGTGCAGGGAGTGTGGGAGCAGAGTGTAGTCGCTGTTTTCTCCGAGGGACTGCAGGGAGGCCAGCAGCTCCGGGCTGGGGCCCAGCGGTCCATCTCTGGAGACACTTCCTAGAAACATACAGCACAAACAAACGCTCTGAAATATACCTAATGTTTCAGATGTTTCGGTTATATTTTGTTAACTTGTAACATCCTCAGTGTGTAAACTCTGATCACAGTATCCTTTGCTGTGTTGTTTCTGTGCTGCATTTCTCAAGGGTTGACGGAATTAATCAGTGATAGGAAACGTATTGATATGAAAATATATACTGTACGTTATATTACTTAAAAGATAATGGTCAGTTTATGAGAACAGTTGTATAGTGTCGGTGGCTGTGCAGACCAAACCTGGAGCCACAAATTTATAACAGACAACCTGCATTACAAACAGTGATGTCCAACTGACATTAAACTGCACTTAACTAGTTGTTAAATGACTGGGCCAATGTTCTCCATTGAGAATAACATCAACCTACCACCTGCAGCCAGTTAGCTTTTCTTAGCATAAAGACTGGACACAATGGGGAACAGCTAGCCGGGCAGGAATTCACTGCGTCTAGCCAAGATATAGTCTAGCACATAACCTCCTGTAAATCCGCAACATATGGCTGGTTGGCAGATTTTGTGTGTGTGTATGTGTGTGTGTGTGTGTGTGTGTGTGTGTGTGTGTGTGTGTGTGTGTGTGTGTGTGTGTGTGTGTGTGTGTGTGTGTGTGTGTGAGAGTGTTTGTGGCTTGTATTGTATTACTATTTGTATTGCTATATTTGTGTTGACCAATTCTAATCCATTGGAGTGAGGACATTTGTGCCACTTCTCTCTTCTTCAAAGGACTGACTGAAGGTTAAGACTTCATTTTATAGGTTAAGGTTAGAATATAGAATATAGAAATGGTTGAGGCAAGGTTTGGGGTTTGGCATTTAGTTGTGATAGTTAAGGTTAGCTTTAGGGGCAAGAGAATGTATTATGTCAGTGATGGTCCTCACTATATAAGTGAAAGAAAGACAAACGTGTGTGTGTGTGTGTGTGTGGTGTGGTGTGTGTGTGTGTGTGTGTGTGTGTGTGTGTGTGTGTCTAAGCCTCAGAGGACGTGGTAGATGTTAAGGCCGACTGACAAACAGGCTGTTACCTCAGCAGGTTGCCATCAGTGACAGCCCGCCTGCAGCCATTGGTGTGACAATTAGTCACTATTAGCTGGAGCTGTATAGTGCAACTCTTACATAACCTAGCTTATCAGCTCCAGCTGTATAGCACATCACAAGCATCCAAGAGTACTGGCCGTGGCTTCCTTACAGCTTAGTATCATCCTGATCATCTTAAGCTCTGTTCTTTCCGGTGCAATCTGTAGGAAACTGTGGTCCACAGATGGATGATAAGCTTTGAGTTGTTCTGAAAAGCTTTCAATCAGTTTTCTGCAGGATAATGTGCTATCACTCTACTGTGTCCCTACTGTGCAAAGAGATTAATGAAGTCAGTCTAGGGTTTTTTAAAGATGATAAACTATCTGTGAGACATCTTATTAAATGAGCTGTAAGAAATATATAGTTTCAGGGTCATTACCATCCACAATAGCTGCCAGTACAAAAAAGCTAAATTCCCTACAGTGCACAAACATAAAAAGAACACAAAAGTCGTATATTAGGTAAAAAAAATAAAAATAAAACACATAACATGGAGTAAAGTATTTTACCTGTGGTATTGTCAATGACACCCCCTTCCTCTTTCTGTGTAGGCTCGCTGTCGGGACCTTTCGGCAGGCTGGTGTTCTTGTTACCCATCACCTCCGTCACAATCTTCTCGTCCAGATCAATGTTCCCCAGACGCTCCTCTGAGACCCCGCAGTGGGCCGTGGCTGGGTCTTTTTGGGCCCTCGCTAAAGAAACATAAAATGATTCTGACCTTTATCAAAGTACTTCCTTAGAGTGAGATAAGCAAATTACTTGGGAAAGTTTGTGTTGCTGTAAGTTCCCAGGGAAGGTTTCAAGGGCTCCTCGGACACTGGAGAATGAAGTCTCAGCAGGTTCGGTTTGTGATCACTCTTGACGGAGCATGTGATTTAACCTTCCATCGCCTCTCCTGGGTGGCCAAGAACAGAGAGATTGGAAAAGGCCCACCACAATCTACGAAGGTTGGGTTTCAGAGGATGTTGTTTTGCCAGTTGTTTCTGATTTTGCGCAGTCCGCTCCGTGGTTTATTGTGCTTTTCTCTTCGCTCCTACACGCAGCATTCAGGGTACCTTCCTTTCCCTGTCCCCGGCAAGCTGTCAGAAAAATAAGGTACATTTTAAAAAGAGAACATAATGTATGCCTCGTGCCTGCAGGACACACAGAGAAAGAACAGATAGCTGAACGCAAAGAGAAGCAGCCATGCTGGTAAAAATGGCAGTTATGTCATTGACTGAAAGGACTGTCTTTATGTCAAAACCAGGACTGTCCATTGAGGCATGTCAGAGTGCTGCACTCTGAATAACTCCCAGGTTGAAAATAACTCCATAGTCGACCCTGTAGTAGAATAACTGGCACTGAATATGTCATAGAAAATACAGATAAAACTCTCAAATTTCTACTTTAACATTTTTTCACGTTCCATTTAGATTTAATTCACTATGTAAATGTGATAATTAAGTGGCCTGCAAAGAAGTAGAAATTTGCCGTTCTGATAGATACCCCATCGTAACCAACAAGAGTGAGAGTTTTATCTATTTTATCTGTATTTTCTATGTATCTTCTCTGCATGTTGTAGAAACTCAGCTAAAAGTAAACATTCAACCTCAAGACTGCTAATCATATACCACGTATTGCATGAAGTAGAGATGTAAATATATGGAGGTAAAAGTCTCCACTTACAGGCCTTTATCTGATGTTTTCAACCAGATTAACAATGCCTGACAAGAAAAGGATTTAGTGACTTGCCTGAGGTCATTTCACAGTTCACAGGGGTTTACCTGTAGCTGTTGACAAAAGGCTGACATTATCAGGAGGACTGAGCTTTTACAGGAAGGTCACTAACCTCTAGCCGGTCCTGTCACTGTAATTATTATACAGAGATACCAAACACAGTATTGTCAAGGCTTTGTGTATTTTATCTTTTGTTTTCATGTATCGTTTACATAAGTTCCACCTTTCTTTTTCCTTGAGTTATGGCTCCACAGAATCAGAGGCTGTTTTCGTGCAACAGGTACACACCTGTGTTCATCTGTTTTAACCTCCCCAGTGGGAGCCATATCAGAAATATGAGCAGTGTTGGCACAATTTTATACACAAGCTCGTACAAAACGTGACTTAGACAAGCAACGCTCTAGATAAATGAAATGTATTTCTGCCTCATGAAACTTACATTTTCACCGTGAGTGGTTTGAGGCCATGAAAGCTGTGTGATGATATGTGTTCACACAGCATGTTAGCAGTCATGTGACTGCTCTGAATTCTACAACATGGGATGTGACACAAAGTACAAATGCTGGGAGCAGAGACTGACTCATAAGGAGGTGTAGCATAATATTAAGAGAGATGCAGAGGAGGCTAAAGATGAACATTTGCATAGATTGCACTAAAACATATTATGACATTTATGGCTTTTCACTGTGAGGTTTCTCTTGTGAACTGACACATGAATGATAAATGATAAGCTCAATAACACTTGCATATCTGTACAGTAAATATGAAGTTACAGCCAGCAGATGGTTATCTTAGCTTAGCATTAAGACAGACACAAGTAACTCTAGGAAGTCACTCCAGCACATAACCTTCTGCTGTTTTTACACTTTCATTTTTGTATAGATTAAACAGACAAGATACAGCATGTTCATTAATGAGCTTTAAAGGTGACAGTAGGCAGATTTTGTAATCTTTCTCCAGAGAAGTGCTAGCTGTTCAGTGTACGGACATGAGCGCGGTATTAATCTTTAACATTTTGGATTTCAGATTCCTTAAACTTCACTTGTGCTAATCCCTTTCAGTGAACATCATCTTTGCATATCCTTTAATAATGCTAATTGGTTTGGAAATTCTTCACTCCATGATCACATGACAGTAACTGTGATTAAAAAATAAAAGCAGACATTGGTTCACTATGATGTATTATCTTTAAAAGCAAGTTGCCTTCAGGGTACAAAAACACAAAAAATCAGGAGTGTTCCTTGAAAAATGGTGAGTAGCAATGAATCATAGTTACCAATACAATAATTATATTTATTAATTACTCCTGACAAAATTATGCTATCCTCCTATACCATTATATATAGGCCCTACCATTATATACCATTACTGTGCAGCTCAGTGAACCGAGCTTGGCAACAACTCTGTCACTTGTGCTTCTATTCACACCACCCATCATTTAAATGTATTCACACCCCTTCTAATACTTGTGAAAATCGAGCTCCTGTGTAAAACATAGACACCTTTATTGTTTCTGCCATGGGCTCCATTGTGGACTGTCAAGTGGTTTAAATTTATTTTCTGTCTGTTTTTTGGTTTTTTTTGGCACAAGTGGGTGGCAGAGTGTGCGTGAGTGTGCACGTGTCTCTGCGTTAGGAGGCAACATGTGCATCCAGGGCGCGTGCTGGTGACGGCTTTCGTGCTCACCGACTCCTCGCGCTCAATTAAAACGTTTATTGTTTTCTTACTAAATCAATTTCCCACGCGCCTTTTTTGTTTTAAAAAAAAAAACATATTTACAACAGTATCTTTGTGGAAAGATGTTGAGCCAAAGAAACCCCCAGCATGCACAGCGGTGTCTAAAGTAAGCGGTAGAGTTTATTGCGTTTTTTCACCATAATATTGACACGTTACATCCGGTACTTAGCCTACTATTGTTGATGTGACATTCCTCTAAAACCGGTTCTATAGTTAATTTAATTCCCGCTGATGAGAAACAAAAACACAAAAGCTCACTGCGACGTGCTCATGTAAGTTAATGTCTCGTAATAAAACGAGAACACAACACAAGACGCGGGACAGATGGATGGATGGATGTACTCACGGCTGGATGTTATTTCTCTGAACATCAACGCCCTGAAGAAGCGTGGCGGTGTTGTTCTCTCTCCCCCTCGGCACACAGCAGGATCCACATACACCTCAGTCTGTCATCTGTCCGTCTCTGACACTCTCTCATGCTTCTTGTTTACGGTCCAATCCGGGGATTTTTCTCACCTTCCCCTCATTGCAGGATATATATTCCTACATGGCGCGGTTATTTATTTATTTCCCCGAGCATGTGGCCGAGGCTGCCATCTTCTGGCAGATGAGTCTCACTGGTTCGTGGCTGTGTGTCAGCGGTTATGTAACAGTAGATGAGGCGGTCATATGACGGGGTGTTAAGCTGATAAACTGTGCACCGGATTACAAGGGAATAAAAAAAAAAAATGTACATCGTCTTTGCATCCTATTGTTATTGTTACATAAACCGAATAAAACGCATTTAAATCCGACTGATGAGATACATGTCAGACAATCACTATGATAATTGTGATAACTGAAAACTGCTCCTTCTTCATTGTCAACATGCATTCATAATATAAGCCTGTCACACCTTAATTATTTTATGTTTGGCCATTTTAATACAAAAATATAAATCACAGTTACGAATATCAGTGCAACTCTTGTTAAGTCTTGAATAAGAGACATATTACTTGATTAGTTGAAGCAGTTTAAAAAAAAAAAAAGAAACTACCATTATCTGTTAAAAAATTAGTATTTATTATCATTGTTATTATAATTATTTAGTTTTCTAATATTTATTATTCTTACTGGTTTCTGTTTTTATTTTCATTAACATATTTTATCATGTACTGTCTTTCTATTGTCTATTTTCATTGTCCTTCTAATCGCCCTAATTTTTATGTAGCCTATATTTCACTTTTTATTGTATAGCACTTTGACATCTCTTTTATGAAAAGTGCTCTATACATAAAGTTTATTATTAACAATCATAAACTTTATATATAAAATAAATAATGTTATTACTCTGTGTAGTATGATATATATTCTTGATGAGCAGTTTGGAGGAATCAGATGAATGTCCTAAATTAATACATAATGTATCTGTAAGCTTGTGAAGTAATTATTTCAGTAAACACACATCAAATTATTGGAATTTTAATTTATTTTAACAGGCTTTTAGTTTCATTTGCTAAATTAAGCATTAAGCAATAGCACAGTCCTTATTTTAAAACTTCTTAAAATGTACAAATGAATGGGACGATAATTTACTTGTGCAAATACATTAGTGCAATTCTCACATCTTCATCTCAAACCAGCTTTTCAAATGTTTGAACTGGCAGAGGCTCGATTTGTTTCCAGAAGATTACATATCTCCAAACAGGGAGAAATTAGTTTTCTTCAGTTTTAAAATACTTTCACATGCATTATTCAGGTTTATATGACGCGTGGATATTCTGCAGCCTTCTTCAGAAGTCTGTGTGTATGTGTTTATGGCTCTCTTTTCTAAATCTGAGCAAACAGTCTGGATGGAAGACTGTGGCTTTCCTCCTCTGCATTGCTGCTGATTTTGTGGAACTTCGAATGAGGCTAAACAATGAGGAAGTGGAGCAGAAAGAGAGGAAGGGCAAAGTCATGGAAGGAAGCGTGTGTGTGTGTGTGTGTGTGTGTGTGTGTGTGTGTGTGTGTATGTGTGTGTGTGTGTGTTCCTCTCCAGTTTTTCTTTCTCTCTTGTAATGAGTCTGACTTTGTAATTGGGCTGCTTTAGGGCTGAACTCTGCTTGCTCTCATTCGCTTTTCACTTGCTATGGATCCCGTTGTTGTTGTTGTTGTTGTATGGCATCAAAACATAACATGAGAATTTTCACTCTCTCTCACTTTGCACACACACACACACAAACACGCGCACTCTGATCTCCACATATAGACAAACATAAGTGATGGAGCCATGAGCAGGACCAGCATGACGACTTTTAATTCTTGCAAATCAAAGGACGCACAGTTTGCAATGTCTACAAATACGGGAAAGAACTGAGAGCTGTGGTCATCCATTAACAATAACGTACAACATGCTGAGTAATAGGATTCACAAAACAAACATCCAGTATATGTGAGTCTTCCCTGTATATTCAAATGCATCGATCTAGGTAGAAAACCCAGCGTTGTCTATTGATTATTATACATCAGCGCCTCCTCTCTGATTGGCTCAATGACTTCAGAGCCACGAGGCTCTTCAGACACAATGACGTTATTCGTTTAATGTAATTACTCCTCCATTAGACTGAGAGTAGAAGCCACATTTTTTATTCTGGCCCCAATCATTTACTAATGTGTTTCAGCAGCCAGTTTATTGATCACAGACCGCCCATTCTCTGAACAGAGGGAAAACATTCACAACAGTGTCTCTGTTGTCAGTAACTTCAAGCAACTAGAGCCTCGTGCTTCAGTCCTTCTCAGACAGCTCAATCAGTTTCCACAGCTCACACAGAAACTGCTTTGATTGCTGCTAATATTCACCTCAACCCAGCCTCCTTTTTTAGTTAGTTTAGTTTTAGTTTCAAAAGATTTTAAATACAGTTTTATTTTTATAATCCAGCACCAAAAATCTATATACAAAATGGCATCAGGTTGGCATGGTTTTCCCTTTTGAACAACCAGTTGGAAAACAACTGCGAGCGCCAAACGTCTTAAAAAAAATTACAACTTTTAAGGCGGACTAACAGTTTCATTATAGTCTGAGACATTTTTGCTGCAAAACAAAAATTGGTGTTCAAATGACACACGATCGTTTGTGTTGGCTTATTAAAATCATGATTTTAGTTACCCAATTTAAATCAGTAGAAATGTCAACACAGAAAACTTAAACACAAAGGTCACAGTTAAATGTAGTGCAGTGAGGTGTGTACTAGTTCTATAAAATGCACAGTGTCTGTTTTTGCTCCGTTTGTCGCTGAGTGGTGGTGTGTACTTGAAATCCACGTTTTGAACACATTGAGGTACATGTATGCATCAGATTTCCCAGAAATTGTTTAAAATGAGATCATAACAAATTTACAAAAGTGCTTAATACCAGGGCCTTAATGACCAGCGTAGACCTGCACAGACGTCTATAAGCATCTATAGTAGTTATATCCAATATTAAGCATATTGTCAGTTCAGTATTCAAGCCTCTTCAAATAATCAAGATCCAAGAACCCAGACGAGTCTCTTGGTTTATCACCTTAAAACAAAATTTGGATGTTTTTAATACTCAGCAGAGGAGGAAAGGTTACATTTGTCCTGTAGCTACACTAAAATGTCTTGTTAGCATTAGCTGCTGCACTGAGTTGAACCGATACCTTTGAATATACTGTATAAACCAAAATGGTTTTTAAAAAACAGGCTCCTTTTAATGTTAAATTTTATTTGAAGGACAAATAGAGTGAATTATTTAAGCTGTCCGATGTGCAAGGAAGTCTAAAAAGTGAATGGTTATAAATTGTTTTGGAAGTATCAGCCCTTTATAAGTGAAGAATTCCTGCCAGCTGTTGGATTGTAGCTCTGTCTTTGATCTTTGACCTCCTTATGAAGGCAGAAGGAGCTTGAAATATCAATGTACAAGACTCCAATCTGCAGCACCTGGTTCATTTAAAGGTATCAGCGGTAATTGGGTAATCGAGACCATAAAGTGTGTGTTAAGTTAAAACAGCATGTGGGAAAAAGGTTTGGGTGTCAGACGGATATCCAGGTGTGACCGGTAAAACATAAGAGTCTGCGGAAAAGAGATGCCTCTTCTAAACATGCCTCAGTTCTCACTGTTCAGCTCAGGTTCCCTTCAAGGCCCTCTGCTCCGGAGCCTTACGGCGTCTCTTCTTGTGCCGTCTCCTGGTGGCGACATCGAAGCAGGTGACCATCATGATGTTGGCTTTGCAGCGGTTGACTCTGTTCTCCAGCCGAGCCGTCACCACCTCAAGGGCCTCCAGGTGCTCCAGGGAGTCCACCTCGAACGTCTGCCACAGGTCGACTGAAGAGGGATAGTGAGGTAATATTAAAGCAGTTTGTAAGGTAAAGTCTACTAACCACTGCGTTAGGTTATTGTATGTAGACAACATTATAGTGAGAGTTAGGGTTACAGCCTCCACATAATACATAGTCTATCTATAAGGTATATAAAGCAGAATGCTATTATTTTGTGTGCTTATTTCGTCAAAGAATAAATCATTTCACTGACACTCTTGGTTCCACTTGGCAGGCTCCAGCATGAGGTCGTGTTTGGCCTGCTCCAGCTCCCTCCTCAGGTTGTTGTATTTGCCTCGGACCTCTGAGATCCTCTGCTGACGGTGCTCCAAAAACTTCAGCTTGGCACTGAAGCACGCAGGGCCCTGAAACACACACACAAACACACACATGCACACACACATACACACACACACACACACACACACACACACACACACACACACACACACACACACACACACACACACATTTCACTACTTTAATTTACATTCATATAGCACTAAACAAAATAAACTGTGCAAGACACTTCGTTGTGTCATGTATCCATATCCTGATGCCAGCAAGCTTTGGCATTTCTGTCATCTGGAAACCCCTCAGCATAGTAATATTTAATTAGCATAGAAAATTTCACCCAGAATAAAGTAATTCCACCTCCACAACAGTAATAATTTACTGTTCTCATTAATAATAAAGGTAACACCTGGTGAATTAGCTGCAAAACAGTCTTTTCTTCTAATCTTAAAATCAAGACAACTGCAAACCCCCTTTATAAATCTATATATGTAAAGATTTTGGGGAATTGTTGAAAGTATGCAGAATTAGTCATTAACAGTTCCTGTTTGCAGTGCTCCAATGAATGCACAGACAACTATAACTTTTTTTCTACAAGTTCTAAGCTGATTTATGTATGTTTCTTTGCAATGGGTATTAGAGATAGTATATACAGAGAAGAATGAAGTCAAACTGAATCTAAAAATATGTGTATCACGTCTTTGTGTTCAGATTTGACTGACCTATGACTGAGAAGGAGTACAATTAAGCGAACCAAATCAGCAAGCCAAACAACAATAACCAGTTTCCCCTTGTTTTTAGATCCCCGGCCTCACAGCTCTCTCTCTCCTCGTTTCCCCTTCAACTCGTGCCCTTCCTACCTCACAAAAACCTCTGTTCTGGACTGACTCACACAATAACACAGCATTAGAGGCTGGATCAACAACAGTAACCCCCGTCCCTCTCTCTCTCTCTCTCTCTCTCTCTCTCTCTCTATCTCTCTCACTACCTCCACACACTCCACATCATAAACACCTCTGGGGAGGGAAACAAGACAGGTCTGCAGGCTGCTAAATAGAATAACTTTTATCATGCTGACCTTATTACACAGGTGGAACAGTTTCAAAGGTCATTACATTAACATTTTAATGGGAAAAAAAGAGAAAAATGCCCCAAATAAGAAGCATGTAGTGCTGTGGGAATTTGCTATTGTACTTGTTTTATTTTTATGAATGAACGAGAAGTAGGCCGTCAATGTGAATATACTGTAATTTCAGTATTTGCTGAAAATGTTCTTTTTTCCCTTCAAAATCTTGTATTATCTTTTACCTGCAATGTGTTGTATTTGTTTTACTTCCAGTGTTCTTTGTTCGTTGCTGCAGCATTGACCCAATTTCCCCCATGTGGTCATTAAAATTGTATCAAAGTTGCCGCGTATGAGACTGGTGGAGGCAGGGAATAGTCCCGTGAGGCCAGACCTCTTGTCAGGGGAACATTACGTCACCATATGCACCCGATCTTGTTTTCACTTTTCAGCTCTACGTGCAAGGTGATATCTTTTTTATTCAGTTTATTATTACAATAGCTGTAAGGCAGCTGCCCAGTGCAACCACAGTCTTTATTTGTGGCCACCGCAGTAGTTGTGGCTTCTTCAAGGACACTGTAACAGCATATTCTGGAAGAGGTGAGTGTCAGTCATTCACTTCCTTACCCAGATTTTTCCTCCAACAGGAACACTTTATCTCTAACTTTCAGGCAGCTGCTGCCCCCAAATTACTGAGGTGTAGCTGGTGAATCTGAATCCCTTCAAATACCTTATCAAATCTAAATAGGTTTAAATTTTAACATTTAACAGACTAAAGTCTCCTAAATTATGTATTAGTTAAGCTACTACTTTGTGTGCTTCAAATACTGGAAGTGCCTGACAATTAAGTATTTAGGCTCATTTGGTTAGCCCGCAAGCTGACTCTGAAGTAGATCCCTACACAGTTAGCTACAACTGCTAATCCAGGAAGCTAATCTCTGTTTTCTTTGTTTTGTACTCAAAGACAAGTCCTTGATGGTTTATGTAAACTGAAACTAAGACTTGGAAAGCTTTACAAGGCTGCATGCTCCGATATACTTGTATTGCCGCAGTTGCATTTCCTATCAGTCTCCACAGCAGAGGTGGCAAGTGCAAAGCTAGCATGATGACTCATAGTCAAATTTGGCCACAATTAATGAGAATAAGACATAGATTGAAAGAGAAAAACAAATTTCTTGTAACAGCAGCCAAATTTTCATAATCAGCTAAAGCTAATGCAGTCTGGCTATGACATTTACCAGTGAAGCGACAGCCAGCAGTGGCTGAATAAGAGAAACTTGCTAAGTTTTCTACATTGCTGTTTCCAAATAAACAGGAGCAAGAAGAGAAAAAGAGTTTGATAACAAATTTTATAGTGTCTTGTTTTGCTAACCAGGAAGCAGCTCCAAAATCAGACTGGCTGTCAGAACCCAGCCTAGAAGAGGTTGGGCGGAGATTCGGTCTACCAGTGTTCCCACGGGTCGCTGGCTGAGGTTGATAAAGGTCATATAATATGCAATGCCCTTTAACCTCCAAAGAAATTCAAAATAAACCCAGCACCTGTTTGCCAGCACCTGCTCTTTTCTGCATCCTCTGCACATTGTCGATTTCATAGACCTTGATCTCGTAGGCTTCTGGGATTCCCCGCTCCACCCAGCGAGACCGCAGACCGCTGGCCGAGCGCCTCAGGGACAGGGCTGCATCGTGGGAAGGACGACGCTGCTGAGTACCTACAGCAGGGTGAGGTAGAAAGCGCAGTGAAATTCGGTATCGCAGTATTTTTTTCTGTACTTTAGTTGAATTTTTATTTTTATTTTAAGTTGAATGTTCAGCATCATCAATTGACAATACTATCACAAAGGGAGGTCAGTGCTTGATGCCACACAATTTAAAAACTTGACCCAGAATTTACACTTGCAATAGACGTACAGTACATGGCATAAATTTAAATTCAGCAACACAGATTTATGATTATGTTGACTTGTTCTCAGGTCATCTCTTTTTTTTCAAATGAATGTGTCTGCTCGTGGTGCTCCTCGATCTTCAAGGCGGCTAATGCTGTAGCTAAAGTAATATTGAGCTGCTATTTTCTACACTAAGAGCATCAGACTGCACAATAAGAATAAATGTGTATCATAAATAAAGGCTTGTATCCCTGAGTGCCCTTCAACGCCCAGGCCATGTGCACTTCTGGAACAGTCTGCCTGAGGGCAGATGCAGCTTGCCAGGGCTACCGTATTATTCATTACAGTCAAGACATGACTTCTCTGTGTCTTTCTGGGTTGACTGGATTTCAGGAAAACATAGTGTACGTTTTATAACACCAGCATCCATAGAGTATGTTTTAATTCTAATATACATTTAATAACATCTGATATACAGCTTTCATCAGAATGTAGATGAGTTAATCACGTAAGGGAACACTTTTTAATTCATATGCTCATCCAGCAAAAGCCTTGTTTATTGTTTTTTACTGCTCCATTAGCAGCATCATCGCTGTGTTAACCATATTTTCAACAAAATGCTATTAAAGGTTTGTCTGTGTGAAACTCCATTAGCAAATGTTGTTGTTATGCACACACATGCATCTTTATAATTCACTGTATCAGCCAAACGCTCTTAATTTTCTGCATTTATGCCTCCATTAGTGAGTGCCATCACTGGGTTCATATATTAATGATGTGACCTCCTACACAATTTGGCTTTTAATGCCAGTAAGGAAATTATGTCTGACTGCATTCTACAGATGTGTCGTCTCCAATTAACGTCACATTAAAATGTTATGTGGTCAGATTACAAAACGAAAACTATGATGGCTGGAGTCTAGACTTGTTTTTGATTTGGAAGCTGCATATACCAGATCATGTCTAGACAAGAAATTATATGGCAGATTTATGCAATATTTGTAAGATGTAAACATTAAACAGCATCTTTTATCTTTTGTTTGAAGAAACAAAAGAGAATTTTATTAATGCAGTTAGCTGAATTGTTATATAGCAAAATCGTACAATGATAAATGCAGCTTTGATGGACCTTTCATGAATGCGTCAACATACCACAGGGTCATTACACATTCAAAATAACAAAAGATCTCCGTCCTCAACTGCATTACTATGCATGGTAATAAAAAAAAAGAAAAAGGAAAACTGTTATTTATCCCAATTTTAAATCTCTAACAGTGGATTTTCATACTGTATTAAAATGAATGGAGACCATTGGTTGCTACAAAGGAAGGAAAAATGTGTTAAATAGTTTAATATGCCCAAATGAAGTAATCTTTAAAATGCTCAAAAAACATCCTAACCTCAGAATTTTTCAGATTAGAATAGCAAAGATAATCACAAACATCATCAACACACGATGAGTACTCAGCACCTGGATTAGGTTCTGATCTTTCCAGAAGAGAAAGTCAATGAGTTCAGTTCATAAAAGGCCACTTAATCCAGGTGTTTTACCTGTGCTGCCTTTCCTCCGAGATGACCGGGAGCTGCGAGCCACACTGAGGAGAGAGCCGCTCCGGTCGCTGACTGAATCTCTGTTTGAGGTGCTGCTGCCTGTGGCTTCACTGTCCCTCACCATGCTGTCATAGCCACTGCTGACCATACTGTTCCTGTTCGAGAAGTACAGGGATGTCTTCCCCATAGCAGGTGGAAGATCGCCACTCAACACGCTAGTGGTGTCACTCGCGTGCCCACTCAGGTGATCAGGCGTGCGGGGAGCAGTCACTCGACTGTATGGCGAGGGCAGAGCGGTGATGTGGTCCACTCCTCCTGAGGTCGGGCTGGAGGGCCTTTCCTTAAGGAGGTCTGAGATCCGACCGTTGACAAACCCCTGGATGGCAGATTTCGTGGATGAGCATGTGGAGCTCTGGCTTGGAGTCCGACTGATGGAGTGAAAAGATCGTGGGGGGGAAGAGGAGAGGAACGAGGATGTCCGCTCAAAGTTAACAGTTTTACTGTCTGGGGAAAGACTGGCACTGCGGTTGATGGACTGTCGCAGGCCTTTGTGGGAGAGACTGAGGTTCTTGATGCTGGGGGCTGACAGTCGACGGACTTTTGGGGTAGCCATCTTAAGTTTCCCAACAGCAGAGAGCTTGTAATGGGTATGCTTAGCAGATTGAGCTACAGGGTTTTCAGAAGAGAAGAAGTGAGGACTCTGGTCAGATCGAGGATTCTTCCTGGGGCTCCTGCTGGCCCTTGGTAATGTACAATGTCCCTCATTATTTCCTTTATAACCTCCCTTACAAGCCCCTTCACTACTTCCCTTGGAGCTCCCCTTAGAGCTCATAGAGGTGTTGCTACTGCCTCTATCCAGAGTTGGGAAGTCGCTTGGGGTTCTCCCAAGGGAATTTGTCCTGCTAGCTAGCTGCTCCAATTTGGAACTGAAAAGCCTACCACTGTCGTCAAAGGGTGACTTCAGCCTCTCACTCATATTATCGTGTTTCATTCTTACACTTGAGGTCTCAAACAAAGACCCAGCTCCCTTTCTGGAAGCACTGCTATCTTTCTGTTTGTACTCCGTTCTGTATTTCCGAGGGGAGGACATGTTGTGGCTGTGGTTCGCTGGGGAGTGCTGTCTGCCCTGCCTCCTCTCCAGAGTTACCCCTGGGCTACATGGGGTGGATGATGTCACCCCCCTTGGGTCTCTGTAGTCGTCTGCCATGTGACAGCCGTGGTAGCTTTCCGGGTAGTTGGCATTTTGCCAGCCTCTAGGCAAACTACCTGTTTTAAAGGAAGCAGTGGCGGTTTCTTGGCAACCAGGTGAAACACCAATTCTCCTGGGGGCATTCCCAACATGTTTGCAGATGATTTCTCCCCCCTCCGAGCCCCTTTGAGTGTTAGTGGAATAAACATGTTCCCTGTCTCTAGGGTGTCTCTTGTCTGCACTTCTTGGTCTCTTTCCACACATTTTGTCCTCCACATTTTCATCGCAGAAAGCTGAATCTTCCAAAACCATTGGGTCGTAAGAGATTTGGCTAAAAGCTGAGTCGCATACCCTGTCAGACTTTTTGACATGTGTTTCAGAGGCAAAAGCTCCACTCCTCTTCTCGAGCGTCTTACTATCTTCTGGACATTTGACATTATTTCTTTTGAGCTCAGACCCTGACTCACGGGAACTTTCTTTTTCTGTACCACCAGCCAAATCACAATCCACTTCTGTATTAATTAGCATCGGATTAATAAATGAAGGTAAGAACTTTTTTTCTCTTTTTGGTAGAAGATGGGGATTTTCAGTGCTGTCCTCTGTTGCTACAGGCTGAGCAACAGAGCTCTTGGTTGTATTAGACGAACCTGCGGCTACAGATTCTTCACTGACATTGCTAATTATCCTGATTGGTTGAGAGCTGGCAGAGCCCTGAGCATGCGCCTGTGACTGGGCGGTGTCTCTGATACAAATAATGTTTCCGCCCGTCCTCCCTCTGTTCAACGCTCCACTGATGGTCACCTCCTCTACCATAGAGAAGACAAGTTCATCTTGACCTTTTAGGTCCAGTGGCTGTTGGACAGTCACTGTGATGGTGGCCTTCATTTCCTTAACATCCTCCATGGGGCAGTTAGGTAAGACATCCCCATGTATAACACTGGTCGCCAGGGAGTGTGAAGACGAGCAGGAGGAAGAAGGAGATATGGGGGAGCTCTTGCCAACTGGTGATGCCCTTTTGTCTGGTTTGAACCAATCAGCAGCTTCCGGACCCTCCTGTATTCCTGTAGGCTGATGTGCGAGGGAACCGCCCTGAGCCGCCATATCAAAGTCCTGAGAAGGGAGCTTATCACGTGACTTAAGAGTTCCCGTGTTGGGAGGCTCAGAGCGACAGGTCATGTTCAGACTGAGAGTTTGATTGAGGAGTTCTTCACTGGAACTAGTTGCACTGCACTCCTCACAGTCATACAGACCTGAATCCTCCCTCTGGAAACTGTCTCCAGGGGAGGCACCATCTGTTGGCTTTTCTCCAACAGAGGTCTGACTGCAGCCTAAACCCTGATTCAGCAATGTCTGTGATGCGTCTGATGATTTGGTGTCTGCCTGCTTCCCTGCTTCTTTCTGGGGTTGTGATTTGGATGTGACAGAAGGACCTTTTGAGGAAGACTTGAGCACATCCATGGTCACCTCACTGCCATCGATACAGCCCAAACGCTCTTGAAGTTCAGCAAATGTTTCACATTTAAGACAATCCCTCTCTGGCGGCTTTATATCTGCTTTTAATGTTTCAGTATGCCCTTGAGCAGTCTCCTCGTTCTTCTTCTCTCCCTGCAGCTGAGGAATTCTCAGAAGCTCTTGGAGGAGAGCGGTAAACTCCGGATCATCCAAGTCAGCCTTGTTGGGATGCAAAGAAGGTATGATGGGCACAAATTCAGGTTGTGCCAGCCTTGGGGCTGCACTAGACTGGATGAAGCCATCTGAGTTTATCTGGATGACTGTGTCACACGACTGGTCGCTACTGGAATGCTCATCCAGTTCACCACGAAGACGGAAAGGATGGATGTCAACATCGACCTCATCGGTGGAGTGGAACGCCCGCAGGGACAAAGACTGAACCCCTCTCTTTTCTTTAGTTAAACTCCTCCCGCAAGGAGAGCATGAGGTGGATTGCTGTTGAATGAAGACAAATCATGGTGTTAGAACTGAGCTCCAAAACATAAACTGACAAATACGTCATTGAGGTAAAATGGAAACACTCTCATGGTAGGACAGCATGTAAAATAAATGAATAAATTTCCTTTAAAAGCGCACCAACACTTTGATGCCATTAAAAGGTTGTATAGAAGATGAATATGAAAGTAAAAAGATATGACAGGACATGTACTGTCCAATACCTTCGTCCTTTTCTGTGTCCTGCGAATGCGAGACGCCAGCTGGATGGTGGACAAGGTCTCTTGAAGGTGTGCCAGTGAATCAGCAACTTCAGCGATCACTGCAGTGTGGCAGTTTGTATGACCCAAGGACTCTCGCAGGAGCATAGTCAACTTACTGCCCCTGTGCAGAGACAGTGCAAATGTCCAGACATTAACTCAAAGGATCATTTTAATTTCCAAGCAGCCAAATCTGTAATTTTGAATGTATGTCGCTATTGTCGAGCTTTAGCTTTAGCCAGTATAAAATGGATTTACGATGGGTTTTTGGAAACCAAGTTACAAGACCAACGGTAAGAATCAACTTCAGCTCACTGCCAAAATGTTAATGTTAGAGAGTTGAGTTGACTCTACACCAATGTCTGCCAGAATGTGTCCACCATTAATATTTAGTTTCTTACTTGTTGGGGGTGGTTTTATGTCCACTCAGTAGAGACACGACCACAGGGCCCAGTTCAGAGTGAGGAGGTTTATTTTTGATCATACCCCTCATACCACTACGCACATCTATCATGGTCAACTTGGTGGGGCCACGCGAACCTAGAGACGGACATCGGACGAGAGAGTAAATACAAAACCTTTTTCATGTCTTCAAATATTCAAATAAAGAGCACATAAATTAGATAGATAGATAGATTTATAATATATTCATATAGATTTATATTATAAAACATATATAAAAATGCATTATATTCTTGAATTCAGGATTAACTATGGAGAGGGGAAACAGACTTCAAGCAGAGACAAGCGGTCCTGGTGACTGAATATTTCATTACAACCTTTGCCAATGGTGCTGCTCTCCGTTCGAGGGGGCTGGACGTGGAGAGTGAAGAACATGATGGAGCTGTGGGACAGGTACGTAACGAAGTCACTGTGCCGACGCGCTGCGATGGCCGCGTCCAGGAGGGAAGCAGCGCGCTCGGCAGTCGGGGCCTTCACTCGGTTGTGGTTGCGTAGCTGGGAGGAAGTTAAGAGGAGGGTCATAAAACCTAATGTGTGGAGAATGTCTTCATAAACTATTTACAGCTCCATTCATACAGTAGATTTCATGTTCAATAAAGAAACACAGAGACACCTACACCAATGAGCTACTGCTTTGCATTTGGCAAACGACAGTGCGAGGGAGGAGAGAGCTGTTCAATGATAATGTAATCATGTGTAATCTTTTTATGTAATCTAACAGGTTTCACTCACTGCAGCATTATCTCCTCACATACACTTGTAGAACAATTATACCAATTGACAGTAATCATACAAATAACTTAAACAAAGGAATCTGGCATATTATCTGTGATATCACTGGCACCTACTGACAATGAATGGGCAATTTTCTTTGTAGCCACTAAAAATATCCAGTTTTTCTAGGAATAGAGCCACAGTTTGTGGTTCATAGCTGCTAAAACAACTCTAAAATAACACTAATTTGTGTACTAATTTTCAAATTGAGTCTTTGAAGCATAGCCAAGAAATTGTCACTTGTCAGGAACAGAAAGTACGGCCTTGGCTCTCTGGTTTCCAGATTTGGGACAGGCTTGTTTATGTTTACAATGACTGATTAGACTGTAAATAATCATGCCAATGATAGTCAAATTCTTCGGTTTGTTCTTCAAAGGAATACACCACCAATTTGGATCAATGAACCCTTGTGTGCTTGAGCTCAGAACGAGCCCCTGTTTATTTAACAAGCTTTCTTTTTTCTAATAAAAAAATTTTTCATCCTACTTGTATCCCGTAGATGGGGTCTTCTTGGAGTCTAATTCGGGCTCTCGGGCTGTCCTGGATACTGCCTAACGAGGGGACGACCTCCCCCAGTAGATCTCTCAGTGTGTCCTCCTCGCCGCAGCAGAGCTCGATGGCAGACACTGACACGGTCAGATCAGTCCAGGTCTTCTCTCTCCGTCGCTCGATGGCGCTGTACAGCCAGGAGATGGCACAGGGAATCAGCCCGAGCTTCTGGATGCTCTCATCACTCCCCACCATGCTGGACCAGGAGCCTGGGGCAGACAACAGATGTATCCATACATACAGTACACACACACAGAAAGTACAGTATATATACACGTACGTGCTAGCATATAAACACATGTGCATCCCATCGACACATAAACACAAATATCCAGTTTGAAACCCACATTTTTATATGATTTATGCTTGAGAGCCACTTCAGTTATTGTATTTAAAGCTCTTAGTGCAAATGATAAAACATACTAGTTGGTTGAAAAAATGGTGATAAAGTGCAATGAAACATTGAGTTCCTGTCGCTGAACCTCAGCTTTGGCAAACACAAGTGGCCTGGTCACAGGTGGAAAACCAGTTAGCGCTCTTGTCACTGTCACTGTCTGCATAATGGGAGTGGAGCCTGAGGGGGACAGTGTGTGCGTCCCATGCATTATATCAACCAGTTAAAACTTGGCAGGAAGGAAAGACGCTGCTGATAACACTGGCCCTTTCCAAGCCACTTTGTCTTTGGCCGTTCTGTCAAGGCTTTGGTCGTACAGAAGTAGGCGTGGTTTCATCTAAAGTGGGTTGATAGGTCGCCTCCAGGCCAACAGTTAACACTGACAGGGGCTGAAGTGCATAGTGGATATCATATTGGGAGGAGATTAATGCTGGCAAAAGAAATTGTGTTTTCCACTATGTTCACACACACACACACACATACACACACTCACACACACACAATACTTTCAGAAGAACACATTTGTAAGACAGCTTAGAAGCATGGGTGTATGGATAATGGCAGAAGTGCACTGGCACACACACAACACAATACATTTACACTCAACAATGCACAAATGAAGACAGAGCAGAAGCACAGAAACATACCCAGGAACACTTTGAGATTTTCTTATGGACTGGTGCCATGCTGTATCTCCTACTGCACTTTTGGCCCACATTAGTTTTGAGTTACGGGCCTGTTTTATGCTCTCTTGTCTTATCCAAACTCTAATTGAATGAGGATAAGAGAATTGGTTTACTCCAATTAAAGGGCGAGCTGCTTGCCGTTATTCAGAGAGAATAGTATTCTGCGGAGGAGATTGATATCCCTCTGGCTGTGGGCCACATGTAGTCTGTATTGGCCAACTAATTCAATCAGATTTACGGAGAGTGGCGTCATGTGAAAAAGCAGCTCCAAGGAGACCCTGTCCTTACCTTAACGTGTGTGTGTGTGTGTGTGTGTGTGTGTGTGTGTGTGTGTGTGTGTGTGTGTGTGTGTGTGTGTGTGCTGCAAATCTATTAAACCCCTTCACCAACGCTAAGTGCAGGGTTCCATCTCTCTAATAGCAACATATTACAGTCCATTTTGTTTACAGCCCCCTCTGAGCTCAGTGCTGCAGCAGAATAAAATAAAATGTGTCTTTTTGTCTAGTATGCTGAAATGTCTATCGGGCAGTGGCAAGCTTTTAAGAAAAACATATGTGTTGTATAATTGATGAATATGCTTTTATTTACAAAGGAACAGGTGAAAGATGAATGACTAAGAGGGAAAGAGTTGAAATGGCAACAATTTTTGGGGAAAATAAAGATGACGAAAAAAAGGAAAAAACGGAGCCAGAGAGAGAAAGCAAAAAAAAAAAAAAACAGGAAGGCTGGAGATGTGTATCAAGATTGATAAGAGGACAGAGAGATAAAATAGAGACGGGAAGTTTAAGTGATAATGAAAGAGTGAATGATAGCAGGAGTGGGACAGAGGTAAAGGAGAGGGGGAGGGTGGGTTGGCCACTAAGCGTAGCTAAAAGCATTCCACTCTCATCTTAAGATTTTAACCCGTGGCCTCTCACTGTGACCGATTACTCACCCACAGCAGCACATCCCAAACCCAGAACACATCCATCGCTGCCACTGAGCACGCAGCGGATGATGTCAGCCAAGACGCCTGCACACACCTCAGCCTGGTCAGACAGAACAAAGGACAGCGAGCGTCTTATGATTCATCTCCGCACTGAGGGAGAACATCCAATGAAACGTAAGAGCCGGAGCAGAGGAGGGATGCTTTCTGATTCTGTACATTCCCTTGGGCTCAGATATCGTAAGCAGAGCTTGGAGAAAACTTGAATATAATTGATGGGCTGTGTAATTGTGGTGGCTATCCAGGCCCTATCAGTTTTCAGGTCATCAGACAGACAGAGCTGAGCTAACCATGGTGTGTGTCCGGGGGGGGGGGGGTGCATTTTGAATACTTGAACATAGAATGCGCTACAGTCACATTACACCATCACGTATCTGTCAATGTAAAACAAGATAGATTAGTAGTACGCTATAGCACAAATAGAAACAGTTGACACCACATCTAAATCATATTCAGCAGTAATCAGGATGAAGAACCAAACCTGGCTTGACTCCTGAGGATAGGCAGCATCAAAGTTGAATGTCTTCAGGATATTTCTGCCGTCCCTGCCTTGTATCATTGTAGTGGGTGGTTGGCTTTTACTAACTGGATCCATTATAGTGACCCTTTTCTTGGATGGGTCAATCTGGAGAACAGGTGGTTGGCCTTGGCCTCCTGACAGTGTTGGGCTTACCCTCAGCACGACTTTGACCTGTACACCAAAGCAAATGGAAAAGAGAATCATGTTGAGATTTACAGTATATTACACACCACTGAATACCCAGAGTTTTTTTTTTTTTCATTTGACTGGGTAAACTTCCTGGTTTAAGTAGTACTCTGCTTTAAACTCATACACGGTTATTATTTGCTGTTTCAGTGGCATGGCTCTAGGGATGGTACTGCTGGTCTGTCCACCACTTTGGTTCAGTCTGAAATACCTCAACAACCATTAAAAGGATTTGCCATGTATTTTGTGATCCACAGAGAATGAATTATAACAACTCTGGTGCACCGTCTGCTTTTAATCCGGCACCATCGCCAGATCAAAATTTGTATTGGTCCACTACTTTGATTTATGACAAGATGCATGCCAAACAAATGAAATTCCCATCAGCCTCAGCTGTATGGGGGAACAGGGATGGTTGTAACATGGGTCAGTGGTAACACTTTGAATTTCTCCAAATAGTCAAACTGTATATTGATATTCAGAGAGGCTGAGACAGGAAGAAATATGGTAAAAGAATTTTATCAGATCAAGTTTTTCTTAACAGACATAAAGTGTGGGGATGGAAGGGGGTAAGGGCAAGGGGGTGAGGGTGAGGGAGATAGAGGAAAGGTAGAGGATGGAGGGTGGAGAGAGGGAGGTGGGGGTAGAGGTGGGGGCAGTAGAGGGGAGTGGGGGCAGTGAGGGGAGAGAGAATAAGAGAAACGAGGAACACCTGTAGGTGTGGAAAAGAGTAGAAAGTGGGGTTCAGGAGATAGAGGAAGGTTGAGGGTAAGTTAAGAGGGATGGAAGTAAGGCAGATGGAGAAGGGTGGGGGGGTGGAAAGGGGGGAGAGGTGTAGAGTTGAAGGGGGTGGGGTGGGTTTGGAGAGCTACTGTCCTCCAGTCTGAGTGAGCAACCAGCCGCCTCCTCCACCTGACTCGCTGTCACACTCTTGTTTTTGTGCATCCAGTCGCACAATCCTCTCTTCTTCTCTGTCTTCTCCTTTCCTTTGCTCTCTTTTTGCTTCTCCTCTTTTGTTTCTTTTCTCTGCCTCTCCTCTGCCTCTTTCCTCTTCTTCTGTTCTTCCTTCTCCTCTTTTTCTCTCTTTTTCTGAGCCTTCTTCTCCTCTTTCTCTTTGTTTTTCTGTGCTTGCTTCTCTCCTCTTTTGCTTCTTCAGTTCTTGCCTTCTCTTTCTTTTGTTTCTTCTTGATATCCTCCTTTCCTCCTTTGTTCTCTTCCTGCTTCTCTGTGTCTTTCTCCTCCTTTTCTCTTTTTGTTTCTCCTCTGCTCCTCCTTGTTTTTCCTCCTCCACCTGTTTCTTCCCTCTCTGAGCTCTCTTCTCTGCTGGCGACCTCCGCTCTCAGTTTCTCCTCCAGAGCGTTGAACTTCTCCCTCCAAGCCTCCTCCATCAGGAGTTTTTGCTCCTCCTGGCTCCTCAGCTGGTTTTCAACCTGAGCGAGTCTCTCAGCAAGTTCCTCCTTCTCCTTCACGAGCTGCAGGAGGTGACTTTTGCTCTGGTTGAGCTCCTCCTTGACCTCCTTGACCTCCTGCTGGCTCTTCTCCTCCTGCAGTTGGAGACACTGCTGAAGACGGCCGACCTCCATCTGGTTCATCACAGTTTCCTCCCAGTGCTTTGTAAAAGCCTCCAGGACCTCCTGCTCCATGGCCTGCAGACGCTCCTCCAGGTTGCTGATTTTGACTGTGTCAGTAATCAGCAGGTGGTTCACCTGCCTCTCCAGGCGAGTGTTCTCCTGTCGCAGAACAGAGAGCTCACTTTGTTTTCTTCTGGCCTCTGGTCTGCGACGTGGACGGCTCTGTGGAGCAGCCTCTGCCATTTTCTCAGAGTTGTTTTCTCTGAATGGAACCAGGAAACACACAGATGATCTTTGGTCTCGCAGTAGATGTTTGCAGATGTTTGTAGGTCGGTAGTCGACGGTATCAGATGTGATCACTGTTGTAGATCGGACGGGAACTCTACACTGGTGTGACTGAGAGAGGTAACACTGAGGTGTACTGTAGCTGTGAGTTCTAGAGAGACGCATCATAAGTGGTTTCACCTTCTGGAATCTGCAGCTGTAGAATCAGCTGCATCACACAATTCTGTTATTGTTTAATTTAATGGTCAAATGAGTCAAATAAATGTAAATCATCAATTCTTTATAAATATTGTGTTTCCTGCTTTTCCAGACTCAAATCATTAAGTCTGGTTGATCCTCATTATTGATTTGTTGGAAATTAAATCAATCCAAAGCTTTTCTCTCTTTTCTCTCTTTTCTTCCTCCTGGCATTTTGTTCACCACTAAACACCACTAAACACCATTTTTATCTCAATAAAAAGTTATTGAATAAGTCAAATAAAACTCACTAACATGTTAATGGCCAGTTAGAAAATGTGTTGGCCTGTTAGGTTTGCTAGGTCGCTAATGGGAAAATAACTTTACACTGTCTATTCAAAAGATGAATTTGTATGTGTACAGCTTCTGTCTTGCACTTGTCTGTAAACCATTGTTCTCTAGTGGAGCAGTTTTTACTATAATGGAGGAGGTTGTGGAGGATTCAGCACATCTAAGCTACAATGACTTCCTCTGTTTTGGACTGTCTGGCTCTCTTGCTATTGGTCAATGGTGAAAATCCTCAATTCAAAGTAGTTTTTTTTTTTCAATTTTAGCTCCCTTCAGTTTTAGGCCTGTAACTGCACTTGTTTCCCATTTGTTTAATCTATATGTAAGCAGAAATGTGAGTGTTTTTCTGGGGGGTTACATGCTGTAAAACCTGAACAACAGTTGTTGTTGTTGTTGTTGCTGTGATGTTACCAGGCAAGCAGTAGAGAAACTGCTTAAATGTTGAACAGGAGGATAAAGTAGCCTATTTGTGACAAAGTAGTTCTACCTCCCCCTAACTCCCCCTAAAACTACAATTTGACATATCAATTGTAATTTTGATATCTCAGTGTAATGTGTTCATTAGTGGAGTTTGGGCTCTTGCCAGGATACAGGATTGTGTTTTTCTCCCTCCGGCTACAGACCTCTAAATGTATTGAGTATTTCAAGTTTTCCAATATATGGTGTTGCGCACATTTCAGACCAAAAATGTGCACTGCACACTAACATGATGTAGGCTACCTTGTGTTTAATGCTGATAAGTAAATATAAGTATGTTAACACATTACATGGTGAGCGATTTCATTCCCGCTAGAACATCAGCATGCTGGCATTGTCATTCCGAGTAGCATGCTAATGATAGCATTTAGCTCAAAGCACTATTCTGCCTAAAATCCAGCCTCACAGACACATTAACATGTCTGTATACTCTTATGGTGCGTTTCATTTGAACTCTGATTTTTCAACTGGAATAACCCCTGAAGTCAGATTTACTACTCAGAAAGTCAGAGTAACCTCACCACCTCAAAATCCAAGATGGCTGCTCTGCATATCAACAGAAGTGAAAGCTGTAGTAGTATAATGTTTATTAGCACTACTGTCTTATTTGTGTCTCATCAATCATACACACAGTACTGTCTAACTTCTATCTCTGGACATGTTGCAATGGGTTTGTATGTGTAATATATGGCATAGTGCTTTCAACTGGCATTGTTGACAATAACAACGACACGCAGTGACAATAACGAGCTTCTGATTTGTTGTACTGGAACGCGGACAATCCAGGTGTGACGCCATTCCCATCTCCGATTTCCAAGGTCAATGAAACGCAGTATTAGTCTTGTGTAAATGTAAATTCAAGCCTCACCTCCATTTTAAATGTAAAGCAACAGAAATGGATAAATCTCAAGAAGTACAATTAAACAAAGAATGTCTGCAGGACTTAATACTAAAGGTAACTTTGAAAATATATTTTTGTTATCTGGTTGACTAGACTGCACATTTATTACATGTATTATGGAAAAAAAAGTTGACACTATCCATTCTAACAAGGCTAATGCTATTGTTGCTAGCTTACAACTAGCATGCTAGTGCACCAAGCTACTGCTATGTCACCAGTGGACAGCTACAGGCTGAGAGACTAAATGCCTTTCACAAGGGTTGTTGAAGGAAGTGTGAGCACTGCTATTAACCTTACTCCTGTATTCATACTGTATACTTATATATGGGAAATGGCTCAACATTTTAAACTACTTTGAGACACACAGAAGAAAACTCCCATTATTTATTAAATGCAAGAAGTGAGTGTGTGTGTGTACTCTGCTTTTACATGGCAACATGTATGTAGGTGATTTCAGACGCAGCAGCAAAATTGCAGGTTTAACTCAGGAAAATAAATACCAGCAGCATACAGAAACTTATGAAAATATAATGAGTTCAAAAATATCTTCATATCAAATTCAGCAAGTTTTAACCTGCTGAAGAACAAAGATTTCAGTGATAACTCTAAAATATACCGTATATACCAGAGTGTATGCCACAAAATATTCAAATACGTTGTTTAAAGCTCGCTGTTATGATGTCAGGTACAGTGTGTTTTACCTCTATTTATACATAAATGTAGCTGTGTGAGAGAGGGAAGTAAGAGTCAGACTTGAGCATTGAGTCCCTGCTGCTCAACCCCAGGAGCCTGAGATACTATTTTATGCAACGTAGCTTGCAAGAAACCTCAGTTGCAAAAGGGAAGCCTTGGCAGAACAAAGCGGTAAATGTCAAAAAGGATTAGGTTTGAGCATTGAGGATGGTGAGCTAATGATGGTGTACTTTGCTGTTGTGAATGTTTGCAACTGGCATTACTTTATTGTATCCTTCGACACATCAGGTAGTCTTTTTCTATGAATACAAGAATGAGCAGCATGTTGTTGTGTAATGTTTAATTGAGATAAAAACATGTTTTCTTTTGACTGACATAGACAGCCAGTTGATCCAGTTAGTGCAGAAGCTACACATGCACTTACAACTGCATGGCGATGCATACCTCCTGCTATATTTCCGCATGTCATGACATTAATTCCTTAATGCAGTTCTCTACAGGAAGCCTTGGAATTGAGGGGCTTTAAGGTCTTAAATTAAGTTAGATCCTGACTCCGACAGCCATTTAACAAGGCTCATAGGTTTTAGTCTGCAGGAAGACAAGGCAACATTTACCTCACTAAAGAAAAAATAGCTGTATTACAGTATGTAAACCAATTATAAAGTTATTCATAATCAGGATTCAGGTCTGCATGATTGCAAGTAGCGCTGTGCAGCTAAACACCCAGTCAAATGTGGTTTTCTTGAAATTGTGCAGGACTGCACCACACCACAATGACATCATCTGACATTGACAATCTGAAGACCTGACAGCCATATTCCATCTGCCACATGATGAGTTTCCAATGTCTGTAAAGGATTTTTTTTCCTCTGCTCCCCTCCTAATAATTTTAATACCTTATGCAAGAAGTGGCTCCCTAACCCTATTGAACATGTGTCAAACAAACTCTATTTATGAGGGTTAAATTATTCAAGAGACCCATTTAAAGGCAGAGAAAATCCTCCTCCGCTCCCACATATTCTCGCACGCAGAGGCACACAGAGCTGAGTGCTCGGGCAGGTGTGGCTGGCAGTGGGGTCTATCTGAGCCCTTATCTGTAACTCTAGACTAAACCCAAGAGTCCATCTATGAGACAAGGGAAGGGCAGGCAGCCATATTGATCTCCCCAGTTTCTCCCAGAGGAGGGGAGGGGAGGGGATGAACAAGATGGAGACATTAGCACCACATTACAGTGTATCATGAAGGAGTAGTGATATAGGATCTCCTCCAAATTGACTGCGATCTCTTTACTCCACAAGCAGGGTGGTAAAAACACTTCCAAGGTGGTGGTTGTGGGTGAGGATGTAGTACTAAGTTTTCTGATAGTACACCTTCACTTGTCTCAGCAAACGCGTCAAATGAGATGACTGTAGATGGAACTATATTTAAATCTGTGTAGATTTTCTATTTGAATTTATAATAACATGGATCTTTGGAGTTGGAGTTGTAAAATCCTATCTATCAGTGTTACACACCATTGTACAATGTGTCGGCTTGTGCTGCCTTTAAACACATTAATCTGTTTCTCCAACTGGATTTCCAGCTGCACCACAAAACACAATCCCACCAATGTTAAAGAAATAGTTCTCCATTTTGGGAAATATACTTATTCACTTTCTTGCTGAGAGTTAGATGAGAGGATTGGTTCGACTCTCATATCTGTCTGCTTAGAGGCAGTAGGTGATTAGCTACGCATAAAGATTTGGAAGCCGGTGGAACTAGCTGACCTCAATCTATCTAAAGTCTGAGGCTACTAGTGCCTCTAAATTTCACTAATGAAGACATTATATTTCATTTCATTAAAAGGGCTATTTGTGAGTTTTCTCTGCTGCTTAACGTGGTTTCTTGCTGGGAGCAGGTGGTGATGATGGTCACTTGACAAGAGCTTCAGCCATTGTTGCATTTACAAGACAAGAGATTATAATACACCCTCTGAGCAGCGCTAAATCTTCAAGGCAGATTGGAGGCTACAGTGAGTCACTATCAGAAAGTGGCAAGACAGGCATGGGCTAGCTGGTTAGCAAGCTAACTTCAGTAGAAGAAAAGACGTGATAGAGGCAAGAGTTAACATTAGTGTTGCTTTCCACCACTGGAGATAGCTCTTGGTCAGTAAAAGAAGGAAGTTTGATGCTGAACTCACAACACTTATTCTAGACTGGTAGGTAAACAGCTGTTAATGCTAACAATGGCTATGTAAGAATAGCAAAATTTACAAATAGCTCCATTAATACACAAACTGACTAACAAGAGACAAGTTGTGATTAACAGCTCAACTGGTTGCAGCTTCATAAAATTGAATCAATCTCATCTAACTCTCAGCAAGAAAGCAAACAGAACCATTTCTTCCCACTTTAATATATAATCAAGAAGACATCTTTAGGCTGTCTATGAAGTTTGATGGTGGTAAGTCAATGACAACCCAACTTTAAATATTGTATTGTATTGGCTGTAATACTGATCTGTAATCTGTGTATCTGATACACTTCAGCCAATCAGTATCGTTTTAAGAGTGCTTACATTTAGTTTCATTCATCTAAGTTTAATAAATATCAAGTAGCTGTGAGGAAAAATTGCTGATAAATAATCATGTTATCAATGTGGTTCACTAAAAAACAGAAAAATCTGTATCTACTGTGACTCTACTGGAATTCGAAGCTCCAGCATCTACCTTGCCAACATTGGGTGAGTCTTTGGTTCTGGTGGCAGCTTGGAGCAGGCAGGAGGGGACAGGCGGCGGATTTTTCTGGATGATCTCCCTGAAGCAGGTGGAGAAATGCGCAGGAGCTGGATCAGAAGCCTGGCCTTTTTTCCTCGATGTCAGGTTGAGCTTCTCAGCAGCCCTGCAGGGAAGACGGGAGGCAGCATGACATGCCACTGAAACTTATAATGCAACCAGTACAAACTGCATGGCTGCAGATAAAGATAATTTTTACACACAGTTGCTGTTTTAATTCACATAACGATATATTTATTTACCTGGCCAAAAAGGACATGGCAGCAGTATTGGCAATGGTCACCACTCTGGAGATGTGAGGGATCTTTGAGCTCGTCTGTACAGTCCCAGCATCACCACAGCCCAGGGTTGCATCATCTGCAGCCTGCCAGGGGAGAGAGCTCATTATAAAATCCAAATTTGTAATTGCACTCCCGCACCCACTCCAAAAGGGGCTGTTATCATGTGAATTACTCTGGGGAGAAACATGGGGTGCATCTGTCTAAGTAGGGCATCTATGCTGGGAGCACATTGGGTTAAACTTACACCATTAATTCATATTACAGCTGTAGCTAGCTGCATGTGGAGTGTGAGGAATAGTTTCTGATGGCAGTAGTGACCGCTGTCTGAATTCAAAACATGACTCAGGGTTGAAGAGGTGCAGTAAACATACTGTCAAAGTCTCTGACACACACAGTCACAAACCCTCCGTCAAGCAGCTTTATGTAAAGTTATTCCAACACAGTGTTTTGCCCTCATTCATAACGCTGTGTGTGTGCAACATGGCCTATTCAGCATGCATCTGCTGCTGCCCAGCGTGAAGTCACCGACCGTCGCCGCAGGCCTCAAAAGCCAACATCTTTGTATTACGGTGCTTTTCTGCACCGCTCTCGAGCTCCACATCTCATCAATGTCTCAGCCTTTTTAGGGCATGATAATAATGTCATCTCAGTTTTTTTTTTCTTTTAATAATGTCCAACCATGCCAATTAGTGAAACAGTAGGAGGAGGACAGTAGTGGTTTCGAAGGAGACTGGAAGGAGATTGTAAAAACGTGGCTAGGTTAATACCGTATACAGCCTAAGTTAATATAGATAATGTATAAATACTGTACTTTCCCCACCCCTCTTCTTTTCTTGTTGACTCATATCTTCTGTCATAACCTTTTTTTTTTAACCTTCACCGTCTCTCTTTTCTCCCTGTTCTGATTTCTCTCTCTTTTATTATCTTGTTTTCTTCTCTCCACTCCATCATCCTTTCTACCCTTTCTCCTGCCTGCCATCTTAAACACTTAATATCCCTTCCTCTTCTTCTGCTATCCATTTTTGTCTCCTCTCTGCTTACTCCTCTTCGCTTTCACTACTCTCATACTATTTCACCTCAGCTGCATAAACCTGTATTGATCTACTCTCATCCTGGATCAGGCTAGTTTCTTATACAGTCTTGCACAACCTTGGATAGTTTTATTTGAGTAAAACTGTTGCATTGTTATTGATGATTTTGATTAGGCAAGTGTATTAAGAATAATTAATTACACTATTGCTCTCAAGACCTTGTCTAACAGACAATTAGCTAAGCCCCGCCCCCTCCAGTTACTGTTGCTATGCCTGTCAAGAACAGCACATAATGATAACAGCGGCAGATTTAACGCTTGAAATTCTTGCAATTTTTGAAACAGCAGCTCCTTGATTTCGAACAGAAGTAGACAAAAGCCAGTTTCTCCTTCTCAGCTGGCGACTGTTGACAGATTTGATCAGCTAGCTATTTATGCCAACACCTGCTCCTTGAGGCAAATGAAAATGCTTTCTCTGGCTGACTCATTGTTTCCAGTTGACCTGTTTTAAAATGAGTCTTAAATATGGTTATAATGGCTACATACATGATAATGATGAAGGTCCTCTAACCTTATGAAAGCACTTGTTCTAACCATAATCTTTTCCTTTTTTTCTTTACCAAGTAGTTTCTGTGCATAAACCCAACCAAACCATGACACAGCCTTAACTTTGTGTTTTTATTATTCTTTCTATGATGACAAAGGTCTGGTACGGCTGCCACTCGTACACTCCTATGGGTCGTATCCAAGGATAGGGACAAGCAACCTACGTGGTTGTGTGGAAGATTTTGGAGGACTTTGTTCAGCTAACGTAACACTATCATAGATGACTGGCTTGGCTGTGGTGCTTGGAGTGTAACCCTCCCTAAATTCAATATAAAGCAGGACAGAGCTCTTATCGTTAGCCTAGCCAGGAGTGGTGGATGTCCTATTGTGAACAGCTCTATTTTTAATGTAATGTTTAACTTCACAAATCTCCTTGGTCTTGAAAGTAACATTGTCTTAGGTTACATTTTGTATGTAGCATATGAGTAGGCCAGACATACCGATATTTGGAGCTTACATTAGAACATATAAACACACTCTAGGTCTCATATTTTTCGTATTGAAAAGGTTAAAGAAAGCACCACTCTTCAAACTCTTTATATTTTGAGTATCACTCTAACTACAGCCCCATGCACAACACGCCATTATGTGGAGAAATCCAAAGCTTGACAAAGCTACCATACTTAGTTACAGTTGCTAAACTGTGATTGAAATAATTGTGTTCGGGGGGATTGGTTTAGCAAATTAATTTTAATTTATTGTGATGTCAGTGAAGATTTTCTTTCAACCAGGTCACATGATATCTACACATAGAACACCAAAGGGAAGGTATCTGGATTTTCCTTTCGTCCATAAGGATCAGGAGTAAAAAAAAAAAAAAACCCAACAAAACTCGACCAACAACATCATATAAAACAGTTCTCACTTTATAAGCTTTTTCATTGGGGACTTGGGAAGGACGGGTTCAATCTGCTTCCATCACATCAATGCATATTTCACCAACCACCCTGTTAAATATGACCATCCCTCTATTGATCACAAGTGCATTTTGACTTGCTGGCTTTTATGACAGGGGTAAATCATGACCCAATTCCATTCCATTAGCAAAAGTACTTTTGAACAATGTCCGCAGCCATAGGATCTAAATAGGCTCTGATTAGGCACTGTGAATCATTGCCTTGCTGACACATGCACCCGTAAAGACGTACTTTACCCATATAGATCATTAAAAGGGGGGTGCTCACTAGGGGATGTGTTATGCGTGATTTAGTGGTAAGAGAAAGCTTTTAGGGGGTACCTTATGGTAAGAGTAGATGGTGACACCATCAGTATTGGACACAGATTTAGAAGCGACCAGCTGCTGCTCCTCTAGCCAGCGGTCCATATCGGGGTTGGGGAGCTTGGGCCCCCTCCGCCTGAGGGTTTGGGGGGTCCTCTGAGGCGTCCTGGGGCTCTGTGGGCTGTGAGGACTGTGGCTTCGACTGTGTGGTTGATGTGCAGCCATGGCAGCTTCCCTTGGAGCTCTGTCCCCATGCTTTGTCTCACTTTGTCCCAGCAGTGAGCCTGTGCTGAGGCTGGGTTCAAAGGGAGGCTTAGCTAATGACTGACCCCTGCTCAGAGCCAGGTGGATGGCCTCCTGTTTGAGCTGGTTCAGGTTTGTACCACAGGCTGCACACTGGCCCTGCTCCCTCTCTCTGTCCCTGGATTCAGTGGTGGACCGACTATGGACACGAAGGTTGTCTTTAAGAAATGCTGACAGGTCACTCAAGTCCTGTAGAATTAGAAAAAAAAGGCAGCAGACATAATTTTACATTTGAAAACTGGAATCCTAATAAGATCAGATCCAGAACAAGCTTCTACTGAAGACATAATAACAAAGCTAATTTGCTTATCTATCTTGATAATTACATGAATGATCATTTCGCATATGACAATTGAGTCACGGAAGGGCACTGCAGGCAATCTTAGCACTTAGGAAAGTAATTATGGAGTTAGTATTAAAGGTCCCATATTGTATAAAGGTAGATGTCCATGTGTGGTTTGATTATAGATCAGGTCTAGGTTCTATATTAAGACTGTGAAAGTATCAAAGCGCTCAGTCCACAGAGAAATGCACACAGCCTGTATTCAGAAACTGAGCCTTAAAACCAGCCGTCAGGACTTCTTTAACTTTGTGATGTCACAACAAAGTAGTCACTGCTCTTAGCCATGCCCTAAGCCCCACCCACCTGGACCCACCATCCAACCTTGGGGGATTTGGTTTCTCTGAGTGTTTACCTGACATCTGTTGCATTTTTATTGGATCACTCAGAAAACAGTCAGCCAATCAGAGGAGAGGCTCAGATCCTCATCTCTTCTGATTGGCTCACTGAGCTGTTGTTACTAGAGCTCCAGAGAGATGCCTAAGAAGAGATGTAAAACTATATTGAGATGGTTTTTAGTTCTTAAAAGCATTAATATATCTTCTTATGGATGTGTAAAATATTGGACCTTTAATACCACCCTATTTTCACCATGTGCAGTAAAAAAAAAGGAATATACTGCACCTTTAAAGCAAATGAAACGAGTACTAACCACAGATTCATGGAGAACAACATGTCACCATGTTTAAAGAAGGATTTCATTTTCAATTAATATTTACATGTTGAATCTGGCTATATTGCTCTCTGGCTACGAGACAGTTGGGAAAATAAAACATGGTATAAACGAAAGAACAAGGCAAAGTTTTGTTTCATGAATGAGGGCTGGGCAGTCATTCAATATTGTCATTTTGTGGAATCATGTCACAATGATTTAATGATGGTGTGTTACTGTTAGACACAAGTTTGTCATCTGAGCTGCCTGTCTGCACCCAGGCTGTCAGATCTAACAAAATGAGCATCAAACATCAAACCATCATCTTGGGCATCTTTGTGTCACATCCTCTTTGGTCTGTCCTTGACACCTGCTAACATCCAACACACTCACTCACTACCCCTCCCACCTCCATCCTGCCAGCACATTGCCAATGACCTATATTGCCCTGGAGGAGTACTTTACAGGAGCTCTCAATTATTATGTAAAACATTCATTCACACAGTCATTCAAACTCCAAAAGTGCTGAATCATTAGGGACTACATTTATGTCTTCCACAAAAAATTCTACTATGGGGTAATTAAGCCCCATGTATGTCCTAATAGCCTATTCTCCTTATCTACAACAAATAGACAAACTATACAATTTTCACCTTTCAGTTTCAGGTTTGGGTATTTATATTTCATAATGAGAAATGATGACAGATACAGTATATAGAGACAGAAATGTACTGCAGTAGTAAAATGGGCGAATGGGCTTTCCATCTTAGCCAGATTGCAAGCCCTTATAAAAGATGACGTTACAGAGTCGTGATGCTTTTGAGAAATCATGCTTGGATCAATAAACCTGAAAGTAGCTTATACCGGCTTATCAGATTTCTACTGACCATCTCTGTGGCCACAAGATACCATCTCGCTGCTGCTCGGACTGTGTTCTCTGTCTAAAAACACAAGGGCGGACTGTGCCCCCATCCCACTCAGGAGGACAAAAATAAATAGTGTTCCCTCTATGGACGGGACTGCGGAGATGACACAGGGATGCTGAGATGAAATATTCATGCCCATTTGAAACCACTCAAGCAGGAATGGCACTGGTTTACTTTGTCGATTGGAGTGTGTTTGATGGATGTTCGTGGTGACAAATATACAGATGGACGCAGAAACATATGGGTGTGCATACCACTCACAGACGGCACCTTAAAACGTGATAGTACCACATGAACATTAATATGCTATTTTATTGTCTAAACATTGTCAGAAAATATGGAGGTGCATTTTTACAAAGTCTACTCATGTGATGATATAAGGGTTGCAACTAATGACTAATTTCATATTGATACATTTTTATTGATGAATTTTTTTGGTTTGTAAAACGTCATAAAATAATTTAAAAAATCATTCAAAATTTTCATTAAGTTTATATATTCAAGATTTTCAGTTTGCAATAAAAACCAGCAAATATTCACATTTTTGCACAAAAAAAAATCTGATAAAAACTGCCCCTGAATCATTTTCTGTTGCTCGACCAATTGATATATATTGTTTTAAATTTTATATTGCTGCATGTCCAGAATGCTTATATCAGTTCATATTTATTGAACATGTGGCAAAACGCTAATGCAAAAAATAAACAGATTTTTATTAATCTGTTTTTTGTCATTAAATAAAAATAATGATCATAATTACACGTCTAGTTCAAGAATATGCAGTATGTATATTATTTATATTGTATTTATTATTGTATTTAGTGTGTTTTTATATTATTTTTTCAACTATTACCCTATACCACCACCTGCTGAAAAACCTGAGATGTGTTTGCTTAATTGTATCTTGTCCATGCCAACTCTTGAGCCCAAACACCATTAAAACATTTTCCTCACAACAGTTGGTGTCAGCCTGAGAGAGAGAAAACTGATCTTAAGTGCATTATTGCTCCAACACATCCAGCTCCATCAAAGCATGGCGGTTACTGACCTTGCAGGAGAAGTGATGGTGAACAGCCAGACTCAGAGCTTGTTTCTTCAGAGCAACAAGGGTTGCTGAGCACTTCTCACAACACGCAACTTTCCTATCAGACCTCCCAAAGCCTGGATTCACCGACGTAGAGCCTCTACATATTGTCCCAAACATATTACTCCTGATGCGGTCTCCGACGGACCCAGGGAGGGACCTGTAGGAGGGGACAGCGTCTGCTCTCTGGCACATATTCCGAAGTGGGTCGCCCCTGGACCCTCCGGCACCCTCAGGAGTCGGGCGCTCCTTGGCTTGGCAGTCTCTCCCTTTAATACTTGGAGAAAAGCCGGCGGGCTCACAGTGAGGCTGCACTTCTGAGCTCTGAGAAATAAATCATTAGAAGAAGGATGTATGTGGGCTTTGGCTGTGGAAAATTAGATATCAATCGACATGAACAACTGTAACCACACCCAAATGTTTTTTCCTAGCACAGCAACAATATTATCCTTCCAGGAAAGTCTCACAGACCATGCAGCCTTTTACAAATGTGAACAAACTGCGCTCAGAAGGAATAAATCTGACTTACCCAGTGAGCTCCTGTGACCGAGGCAGGAAATCTCTCTCCTCTTCCAGTCAGAGATGACATGACAACTTGTTAATATTTAAAAAGATATCCGAACAAAGGCAGGGCGCACTTTTATTTAATTTAGCCAACGTTCCATGGATGTAAAACAGAAATATTTCACTCATGGTAGAGTTAAATGAAAAAATATGACAAACTAAGAGGCAGGAGACACTGACTCAGAGGTGGAGTGATGACTGTGGCACAGTGGAGAAGGAGGGAGCGCACTGGAGGACACTTCATGATTTTACATGCCTATTTATTGTGACCTCCTCAGGGAGGCGGTAGGGAGCAAGTCTTCAGAACAGTCAAAGTGAACAGGCAGAATTTCACTGGATATTTCTTTCCTTTTAAAACATAATCCTAAAATAATCTCTCTCCTATAACAGCTCCTCATATGTAATATTTATTTCAACATTCTTGCAACAGAATGATCAGAAATCACTTTGATGTTCCTAAGCAATTATATCAAGATATCAATATATTCCCTACAATGTGACTTCTGAAGATAATGTTATTGTAGCACCATAGGGGTCAGATTGACAGTGATAGTTAAGAGAAAATTGTAGTGTAGTATAAATTTTATCAAGGAGAGTTTTTTCCCCCAATATATTTTTTAACTATGCAGAACAGGGGAATGTCAGATGTATAAATTATAACATTATAGGCAGAGGCTGCATTAAAAAATAGATTAAAGGGCTACTCCAGCAATTTAGTATTGCACTCCCATGACATTGGGTTATTCAGGAGAGATAGATTAAAAACAGAATGTACAAAATTGATGCAGCAGAGGTCAAGAAACTCTGGTTTAGTCTTATAGTATGAGGCAAACTTTAAAAACCCCTGGAGCCCACATTTCTACATCTGATGACATCATCAGGGTTATTTTGTCTGAGAAGACATTACCAACTAAACTGAATAGAGTTCAAACTGTCATGAATAAAGTCAGTGAAGTACCCCTTTAATTTAATTAGCCTGTTAAAAAAAATAGTTGATAAAACATCAAATGTGTTTCAATGTGTTTTCCAAAACGCTGAGAGCTTTCATTGCCTTTTGGTTACAGAGGTTATTTAGGGATGCATAAAAAATGTTTCCACATCAACTGAAAACAGTCTGAAATTTGACAGCATTTGTTGTTCTTGAATTATGAATATGGCATTTCCCTGCAGCAGACAAAGAAGCCTAGTCATTTACTGTTCTCAGTATGATAAGATAAAAACGAAACCATAGGCTAAAGCAACAAAACAAGATCAAAGAAATATGGCCATGTTTTAACAACTGTTTAAAAGAATTGTAAAAGAGAATTAGATGCATATTTCCCTATGAATTTGTTACATGAAAAAGATTAGGTAAGTTATATCCTATTTTAACTGCACCTCCTTTACTTTATTGGCCTAGTACATAGGAAGATAGCTAGGCTGCTTTAATTAACAGTAGATTTTATGTTAAAATAACTAGCTGGTAGGAAAGTTGGATATAAACTATATGATGACGCTGTTTTTTAATCAGAGAGAGAATATTACTTTTACAAAATGTATTGTACATTACGGTATTCTATATCTTATTATCCTCCTTGCTAGAAGCGGGGCACTTCACAATTTTAAATCCCAACTATAACAATTCCCTCATAAATGTATCATGTTATGTATACTTCTTACAAATACGTGTATTCATTTTGTATATAAATGTAAGCTAAGTAGTATACTGGTTGTTCTTTGTGCAGGCTGTTTTCCTCCATATACTGTCCCACTTTTTCCACAACAATGCTTTCTTGGCGGTTGTTTTGATATCGCAACAGCGACAGATGGTCGACGCTCTATATAGCCGCGCTGCGCTGCTCTCTGGGCAATTACGGTAGACGACGTAATCTTCCTCCCCCACACCACAGACTTCGCACAGCTCTTTTGCCGGTGAAACATTGGTCGGACAACGGGTGCCATTTGGCGCAGTATTGAGCCACATCCGTTAACAAAGAGCGTCTAGTAATTTATTTATCGTCGTGTTCGTTAATTTTATTTGATACGTTTTGCCGTCAAACATTCACAATGAGCTCAATCAACGTAAAAAAGCTGAAAGTCAACGAGCTGAAGGACGAGCTGAAAAAGCGTAATCTTTCGGACAAGGGGCTGAAGGCCGAGCTGATGGACCGCCTGCAGGCCGCGCTGGACGAAGAGGCCCTTGCCGGAGACTCTCCGCTCGACCAAGAAGCCGCTGCAGACGAGGGTTTCAGCCAGGCAACCGACCAAGAGGGTATGGGAGAGGAAGAAGAGGGCGATGGCCCGATAGAAGAAAGCATGGAGGCCAACGAGGAGGAGGAGGAGGAAGAAGAAGAGCCAGAGAATGGGGGCGACGGCGATGGCGTTGCCGAGGACGAAGAAATGGGTGAAGGGGAAGAGGAAGGGGACGGGGACGGGGAAGGGGAAGAAGACGACGAGATGGATCCCATGCTCAAGGGAGATGTGGACGACATGGAGAAAATAGACGCAGAGGATGGTGAGCCCGGGGACCAGGTTGCAGAGGGTGAGTCGACCGAATTGGTTATGAAAATGTGATTGGCTGGATGGACTGTGGCTGGCTGTCGGTTTTCTGCTATAACGTTAGCGTTAATGCTACCGCGGGAGGGAGTCGGTTGGGAGTGACTAAATTTGAATGCGTTACCATACAACAGAACACAGCGTCCATGTTAAGCTAGATAGCGTGACCTCACTAGGCTAGCCAGCGTTAGCCACAAACTGAAACAGTTAGCTGGTCAGCTAACGATAGCATCGGTCACCAATGGTTAGCTAACGGTAACAGTTTTGCAACATTAAATGTCGATAGTGCAGTCCACAAACACGTTAGCATTATTTTAAGAATACCGTCAGCTACAGTTACTAAGTGAATGAACGGGGAATAAGCTAACAATTTAGCTTAGTTTGGCTTTTCGTTTCGCTTTGGCTAGCGTGTTAGCTTGCCAGCTAACGTCATTTTCTTTGTGTCTGTGGTGCAGTGCTAACTCGCTGGTCCGTTTAGCTAGTTCAATGGTTCCCATGTTGAAGTTTGGATACGAAATTGGGTGATAGCGTGGTGGTGAACAACGAAAATCACTAATCACAAAAAAATGGCATAGCATATGATGATGGCATAAAATGTTTGAAAACACTACTGCAGTGATTAAAGCATGTATAGACTCTAGTAGTGCGTTGTTAATTATCCTAAACTCGAAGGACAGTTTGGCTTTTCTAAAAGAAATTGAAATTAAAATCATTTTTTGAATTCGTTGGGACTAAATTTCTCATCACGGGATGACTGTGGCATATTATATACGAGTCCCAATGTGTTTGACTCCAAAGGGGCCGGGACCACTTGAACTAGCTAACCCAAAGCTGTGCGGAAGACGGGGCAGGCGCTGAACTGCTGGTCTAGCTAGCACGTGGATAGTTTGTCCTTGGTTTGAATAGAAAGTGTCATCTTGTTGGATCAGCACAGAAAATATAGATTTACAGTTAATAGCCACTTAGGCAATTCAGGCTAAGACATGGGGGAGGGGGGGTCATTATAGGTCTAAGTAGGTTTCCACATTTCCTTGCATGATGCATTTGTCCCAGACAACAGTAGACTTGTCCTCCTTAATGAAACATACTTCTATATGAATCTGATTGACAACAGTATATTCTAAGCCCTTTATTGCAGGGTTAATGTCCCTTTATTTTGCAGAGACTTGTTTTTCCAGCCCCAGCAAATACTGTTCACAATGTTCATTTGGACCAGCTTATATTGTAAATACTATCTGGTCATTAGAGCTGTTACAATATATGAAATATGATTGTATTGTCTAAGTGTAATCATGAGGTGTTACCTCCTAGTTATCTTTTAATATTGATGATTATGGTCGACACAATGTAAATAATGAACGGGCTTTGTGGGCCAGAACCCCACTGCCAGTCCGACCTCTCTCTCACAAAAAGGAGCACCTCATGCTATATCTTTGTTCTATTTTCAAAGGGGATGCGGACAAAGACACGAATGCTGATCAGAAGAATAAGAAGGGTGTTAAGAGACGCCGGGAGGAACATGGAAGGGGCTACTTTGAATTTATTGAAGAGAACAAATACAGCTGGTAAGGATGGGACAGAGCAAAAATGGCCTTCAGCATCCCTGAAGCGCCATCCATAGCTTTGTTGAACTGTATTGGCTTTAAGTGCCAATGCACATATAACTAGCAAGAGGAAAAACCCTCATTTTTAAGTATTATACTATTTATTAACCTTACTTTCACACACATGTTTTGAGGGTCATCCCTGAGTACTTAAAGAGCCTTACCATTTACCCTTTACAGTGCCCACTCACAATGTGTCTTTAATGGACTGCATTCTGTAGCAGAAGTGCATCTATCAAGTCTCTGTGAATTTTTCACATCTGTTCCTTCTGCCACTTACTGTTTTGGAAAGCCAGTTGTGTCCTCAAGGTGAATCGAGACTGCTCAAAGAGAACCCAGAAGACAGTAGCAGATGTGCACTTTTGAATGGTGGGTGGGTGGGTGGGTGGGGGAGGAGTAGCTGAGAGGTGTGGGAGGAAGGGTCCACTGCTGCAAGGTAGCACACAAGGATGTAGCACAACACAAGAGTGTTTGGAACGTCCACGGAGGAGT